TCTGCCAATCAAAAAAAGAAAGAAAAAATTCCGTTTAGAGTGTAATATATGTAAGTTGTTATGCACACTGCTTCTCTCAACAAATGCTCATTTTTTTTTTTTTTTTTTTTTTTTTTTTTTTTTTTTTTGTTGAAATCAATAGAAATGTTTTTTATTAAACTAACGCCAATAAAACGTAGAATTTTATTTAATTTTTATGTTTGAATGTTAGCTTCAAGAAGGGAGCTAACAAACAAATTATAAGGTCTAATCGTTCACGGGAGCATACAGATTGTCAGTGACCTTCTGTAAGATCGCTGGTGACTTCTCACTAGTCAACAAAGTCCGTCGAGGAGTACAGTTGTGGAACATTGGTAGTTCAGTCCGAGTTTTGAATCTCGCGGGCTGGCTGGCTGCACGGGCGTTTTCGTGGTTTTCCCCATGTGTAAGCTGTATACGAGCCAGTTCTCTTAGAAAGTCTTCCACAAAGGCATCCTTCCCCTCAGGCAGGCTTTGCCGTACTTCTATACACCAACCAAACCAAACTCACTAATCAATATGATGTTCAGTAATAATAAGAATAAGGATAAAGTTTGAAATCTTTTATTCAAGACAACTATTTAAAGAGTACATTTCGTGCTTAAAATATAGATCACTGCTTGTGGTGTTGTGCTACGTAGAAATGAAGGGGCCACCTAATATTTACCCAAAGTAAATAGACATTAGCTCTACACACTGACTAGAAAACCAACAACCTTCCGGAGTCCTCGAGTTATGATGAAATTGTGACGCCAGCCAAAATTGCAAGTTCTGCCACCGGACGTTAAATTAGATCAAGTAAAATGCATTATATATTACATGGTATACATAGCGATACATAGTTGTACAGGTGGATGTTTTATGGCGTTAGTTATTGTAATGGGTACAGGCATCATGTTTCAGAACATTACATACTCCAGTAGATAAAGGCGTGCGATGAAGATGATAAATGCGTGATGTATATCAGTGTTTCACAAACGACGATCCGCAAGAAATATTTACCGGTCCGCGAAATATCTGCCCAAAAATTGTGCTAATGGGTCGAATTATTAAACTTACCAGTCGCGAGAACGTACCAAAATATTTTACCGGTCCTTGGAGTAAATCCATTTGAGAAACACTGATGTAGATGATGTTCTTTTAGGGCGTGTTTGCAAACATGAGCTGTTTACATCAGTGCTTACTACCAAAGTTAAGTTAGCACTATAAAATTGTTTACAAAGCGTACTTCATTCTGCATATTTATGCTTACTGCTTACATTTAAATATTGTTGTATAGATGTGCTAATACTTTAGCTATTCAGTATTGACGAATGAGTTGCTAAAGTATCAGTCAAACCATACAACAATACTTAAATTGTTGTATTGATATTTTAACTCAATCGACAAAATATTGAGTTGCTAAAGTATCAGCACAACTAATAAACTTAACATTTCAAGGTAATAAATTAAATAGAGGAATTCAAGATTAGCCTAACAGGCTTTCTCAGACAATTAACTTACTGGCACACTTAAAGCAACGGCCGCAAATGGCTAAACCCTAACAGCAGAAGTCGACGTGGCCAATTCTCACATTCCCTTTCGATCTCAAAAGCTTCGCCTTAAATACCCTTAACTCATTTGCACCCTAAACACGTTTACTTACTAACTTATTTACATTCTGGTGAGGAAATGGAAAGTAGAATTGACAGTACAAGCTGAAATAATACATAACAGGATAGTATTTTCTCCCTCCTTCCAGCATGCTTTCGTGGCGTAACGGTTAGCACACTCGGCGCGTATTTGAGAGTTCAGGTTAGAGTCCCGGCGAGCGCAATGCGCATTTTTCACGTCTCCAGCATGGCGCCTGAACAAAAAAAAAAAAAAAAAAAAAAAAAAAAAAAAAAAAAAAAGGTGGTAGATGATAATTCTTCCCCACCGGGATTTGACGACTGGGTCCCTTAATTTCCAGTCGTCTTTAAAAGGTGGCGTATATAAGGTATTTTCTCCCTCCTTCCAGCATGCCTTTGTGGTATAACGGTTAGTGCAATCGGCGCGTATCAGACCAGACCAGTGATTCTCAACAGTTTTTCCCTTATGTGCCCCTTTCATCATTGCTAAACGATCATTCAATCCATCCTTCCCAAAACTTGAAAACTACATATGCGTTTCTTTAAATATGGATTATTTTTAATGCATTTTATAAATTAAACAAGTATAAAAATGTTGATAAATACCAAAATTTGAACAAAAGTGTTTTTTTATATTCGTAAACTAAATCTAAATACTTAATAGGTAAAGAAAATGTTGACTAGATTACTACCTGAAACTGTGAAATTCCCCTTAGGGGTATTCCTCCTGATTGAGGACCCATAGTCTAGACAGAATTAGTTTTTAATAGTTAACTGAATATACTGATAATTTAAATTTGTCACACTTCTCTATACTCATTTTTGTTTCATAAAACTTCGGGTTACCTGCATGTTTTTTGAAAATAAAAGTTAAGACACAAATTTAAAAAAAATTATGTTTAAAATTTGATGCTGAATTCCTGACTTCCTGAAAAATTTTACGAACAATATTTATTATGATTAAAAAGGAAATTTCAAGTGGGAATGAAATAAAGTTATCTAAAATCTAAGTTGTCAAAATTTAACTAGAATATTTGAAACGTGCTTTTAATTCACTATGAAAACAGTATTTGTGATAGCGCACACAAATGTTTTATTTAATCATAATAGAATACGGTACTTTTCCCTTTCTCGTTGAAATAAAAGTTTGACTTTAATTCTCCTTATTAAATTCAGTATATGCAAAATTTTCTGCAGTGTTAAATTAGTCATAAATTATTCTCTGTATATGATGAAAATTTACGTACATTTTATACTCCTTATAATTTTGTAGAATTAAAATAATCAGTGTGGTCAGTATTCCCTATCACCTCCCTTTGTCGGACTTATACGAGGGCACTTCCATTTGTCGCATAAATATAATAACAAAGTTACACATACATGTATATGTTTATAATTACATTGTTTTGATTGATTCCCTTAATTCAGCGGGAGCCCAAAATGAAATGTGTCCCTCTACTTAAATTTATTGTTCAATTATTTGTTATTAATTTAATTTACTTTTTATTTTATCTTTATTCATGAATCTACTTTGTGTAGCTGAAGAAAAAAGGGAAAAATATTCATTTTAACGTAGCATATATATCGGTGTGGGTTTTTGTCAGTGTGGGCTTTTATAAACGTGGTCTTATATCTATGTGGGCTTTTATCTGTGTGGGCTTTTATCAATGTGCGCTTTCATCGGTGTGGGTATTAGTCGCCTGGGTAATTATCCCAGTGGAGTCTTTTTTGTGGGCTTTTGTCGCGAGCGCTTTCGTCCTTTGGGCTTTCGTCTGGTCACCAGCATAAACATATCAGTTAAACACCGATCTCTTTCCTATGCTGAAGCAAACTGAAAGAAGAAAAAGAAATCATATCCTTTTTTGCTTATATTTGGCAACTTTATTTACATATTTCTTTCTGAATTCAGATTACATTCGAAACCTAAATTGAATTAAATAATACATTAAACTTGGAGCCATTGAAGGCGAAACTTTAACAATAATTTTGATTTAATTTATTTTTCAGTACTGAACGTATATTTGATAGTAGCTCCAGATAGGAAGCGTAAGCTACGTTTCCGCTTCGTTTTTGTTCATTCCAGATGCGTACTTTAAAATCATCAAAAAGATTATTTTGAAATATCATTAAAGATTTTAAAGTAATTCTACCAAAATAAAAGACTATTAAAGATATCTTCCCAAGAAAGCTTTAAAACTAACCATTTAGATAAATGAAAATATTAGATAAAAAAATTTAACTAAAGTGAAAAGATTTCGTATGCAATAAAGATAGATAGTCCTAAATATTGCGAATATGCATTTATTATGAAAGATTGTAGAGGAAAGCTATCGGAGACAAACTAATATCTTAAATATTCAGATATTCTTCAGAAAATGTGTGTCCTGTGATAAAGAATCATCACACGAGAATTGAAACAATTTATAAAATCATACATCCATATCATTTCTACCTAGAATAATTCTTTCACTGCAAGAACCTGGAAAATGAGACTACCTTAGCTTGTTGGAAACGAACAAATACGAAACATAGGTAAAAAGCACTTTTGAAAAAAGAATGAAATAAGATCAGTTGACAAGCGAGCTATGCACATTGCGAAATGTACAGATGTCAGTAGTAAGCGCTTAATTGATGCAGTTTTACTACCTGATATTTTGAACACTACCCGCTTTCTTCAGATTTCACAGCATTTGCAAACCAATTTCATAAATTAGGGAGGCAAAAAGGCTACTTTCAACAAACAATATCATGTTCACGTCGGATATGAAAGCATAGCCGAAGACGAAATATTTTTGGAAACAGATTAATATTGAAGAACTTGCGATCATAAGCTTTCCTAATCTCTAAGAGTTCTTGACTTTCTCTTGTGCATGCCTTAAAATTAAAAGTATTTGCCAGTAAGCCTCGCATTACTGAAATCGGAAACGAATAACTAATACTGACGCGAAGTTTTCTGGCCAGCGAGGACGTCTCAAACATTCGCATATTTCAGGATCTCGTAGCTAAAAAATCAGCTGTTTACTCAGCAGTACGAGTAATCATCATCGTGATTATTATTCTGTAATAGGATTGACAACGATATGTTTCTGGAGTGAATATTCTCACGTTATGGAAGAAGTTCAATATAAATAGGCTGGGGTTGTAGTTGAGATATTCTTAATTCCGGGTATGAACTCCACCTTCGGATGTAAAAAGTGGATTCATCCTGTTTCTTCGTCTTTTTCAACACAAGATTAGCTTTGCTCAGGAGGTTAAGTGTCGGAGTAGGCAACGTCATCAATTCCAAAACAGATACCTTCCTATTCAATCTGGCTCCACTTTTCATAACAACATTTCCTTTCTTGCGACCTTGTGAAGAGGGAAGCTGAATCGCTTTTATTGGCCCATCACTGGAGCTGGATGATTTCGGAGAAGGCGTTTGCTCAGGACTCATGCAGCTGGTTTCTGGTTTGGTCATGTTTTGAAGAATTGCTTGTTTTTTGCGTTTATTTCGGAAAAAGTGATGCGTATCTGGAACAATATAAGTCGGTGAGCTTGGTGGCCTTTGATCAGCACCTGAAAATGGACTTCATTTCAATAATAGTAGTAATATTGCTTCCTTTTGAACAAAATTTAAATTTTTAGTATAAAACAGTGTTTTTCAACCTTTTCATTCTTGCGGAACACTTGATATAATATTCATGTCTTCGAGAACCCCTACATAAAAATTATTGCACATCATTATTAATCTCCCTTTTATACAGTTCGAAGGAAAACACAACATGTTTTCTAATAACCAACTGAAGTAAAAGTAGCTTACATTTTTAAATTTATTGACTTCAAGCATGCACTTTCCCACGCACATACACATGTATAAGGAGAAAAAGCGTAAAATAATAAATAGTCAAAGAATAGCTATTAATAACTTATTTGTCTATTGACAGTTTCGAAACAGCATAATATAATTCCAAATAAATTATAGTAATTTAGTAAAATAAACGTAATTAGTAAAATTTAATACAAGGGATGATTGAAAAGTTTTAAGACTACCTCGTCGTTTTACTCTTTCTGATATTAGAAATAGCAACCCTGTACTTAGTTTTGTGAATGCCATACATCAGTAAGTCTGAATCTGCGATTGAACAGTTATGATTTGTAGTAGTTGGTAGCGGCGAGGGAAAGGGTTAGAACGTTTTGTCGTGGATGATGACGGAAACATTATAAAGTGCAATAGAAATGTGATTACATTTTGAGATAAACTTGGGAATTATAGTTATGAAACATTTGAAATCTTACGTTATGCATCTAAGGCTGAAACAGTTGTATTTCAGTATTTCGTGGTGGAAACACTTCAAAGGCGATAACACGCGAGCAATTGACAAAGCACGTTCTAGAAGGCCATTCAGTGCATTGAAAAACGTCAGCATTGCAAACCTGTGGGCAGAAACAGAAGGTGACTATTATGCGAACAGATTGGAAACCCATGAGGCAGATTAAACAGTAGTTGTTCAGGAAACTATGACTAAACCCGGCCGCTAGTGGCTACTAATGCACCGTCTGAAATCAATGGGATGGCACTAGAATACCCTCCATACATACTTAGTGGCATGAAGTTTTTTGTAATTCAAAACATTTGAAAGAGATTCGAGGAAAAGGATTCTCTTCAGATGAAGAAATGAAAAACGCTATGGTGACAGTGCTAAAAGAGATGTCACAAAACAATGTATCTCATGACTGAATCCCTGATAAAACACTGTAAAAAAATACAATCGATACGAAGAACTTCACTTTGAAAAAAGAGTAAAATATAGCGTTATCCGATTCTGGGGAAAAAATAGTTTCAAAAGTTTTTAAACATACATTAAGTTGTTGATAGTACGTTTAGTAGTCAACATTTTTAGTAAATTATGTACCAGTAAAACTATATATGAAGATAAGTTACTAAATTTATGAATACGAAATTAAGCATAAAAAAATGAATCAAAAATATATTTATATAGAACAAGTTTATTTATAATTATCTTTCGTAGTTTCTCCACCACACATATTTTTTCACACACATTTTTTTTTTCCCAAGGAAACAATAGGAATCCGAGAAATCACAGCTGAAAGAAGTTGACATAAAGCTTTAAAATCCGTCCGAGCAAATGTTATTGCAATAGTTATCAATGAGATGGAGTAACAAGTCATATGAAGACACATTTATTGCATTGATTCTCATCATTAAAGAAGTGAAGTCAGTGGTAATTTACGTTGCTGTTTACCTATTATCTAACAATGAAAGTAAACACGCAGAACGGTTTGCACGAAATATTGATTGAAATGTTTGCTAATAATTTTATTTAGAGCTAGATGTGTCTACAAGCGCTCCTTTTTCAAAGTCCTTCTCGCTGAGCTACATTTTTATAACGATTTTGTGAGTAATCTATAATCATAAAATAAACTGTTTTGTTGCATTCTTTTTCGTACTGTGGTTGTGTCCTTTTCAAGTACCTAATTAAAGAGAACCTCTTTCCGTGCAGGCTACATGTTGAAACTGTCCAAATCACATGATAGGTACAAGTAGGAGCAAGGCCGGCACCTGTGTTTCCATGTAAGCATATTCGGTACTACTAGGCCTTGCTAACTGCTAAGTCCCTCCCACACACAATTTGGAATTCCGAGGGAGAATACCCGGAGGAGGGTCCGAGGGTCTTCCACCCCTCTTCGTCTATCATCAACCTCTCCATAGGATTTCAGCTCGTTGGGTATTTTGAATGCCCCCTTGCAGTACAGACACTGTACGCTTACAAGCATCCATGTCATTGCCGGGTTTCAAACTGGATCCTTCGGTACGGCAATCTGCATATCAAAATAACCTTTCTAAACACTATCGCATCTGTTCGGCAAAAGCTTCAAAATTGCAGAATTAGCATATTACTCACTGAAAACTGAATAATTTCTTACGATACTTTATTATCTTTAAGAACTGGTATGTTCTTGTATTTGCAACAGCACTTGTACTACTATATTTTAACCCGGATTGTCCTTCTATAGTGAAATTGGTATAAGTAGATATAAAAAAAGAAAATTTACAGAGTTTTTTATTGAACATGTTGTATAGTTCATAGGTTTTCATTATAGGTTCATAGGTTTTTATTATAGGTTATAGGTTTTTATTCATTTGAAAGACACAACAGAATACTGTTCCGTGATCTCAATAAACCAGGTTCGAATTCTGATTTTCTGTTGCATATCTCAGATAGATTAATAACAAAAGCATATGAACCACATAACAGATTTCAACAAAAACTGTATAGATTTCCTTTATTTTATATTTAGTTACATACATAAACTTTACTTTCTCTACATACTAAAATGTTGACTCAACATTCATCAACCTGTGATACCCAATGATACTAAAATAAGCTGCTTAGAAATGCAGAATCAGATCCTAAAATCTTAACATAAAGTTATTATTTTTTCCTTGAAAATTTCAGTCTTTAGAAATGTGCTTTGTTAATAAAATATCCTTTCTCGAGAACATAGCTCGAGATGTTATTATTAGCCCAGAAGAGCTAGTCTCGAAACGACATTTTGGGTCGAATCATTATAAACGCCTGTATCACTTTTCAAATTGTTGCCATCAAATATTATCGCCCTGTGTTACATTTAAAGGAATTAAATAATTAATTAAGTACTAATAATGCTCTGTATCACATAGGGTGGGGCAAATAAAAGTGACCCGGAAAGCAGAGTAACTCTGTTCTCCCTTTTATTTGCTCCACGCTGTATTTAAAAAAACTGACTAATCTACATGAATATATATGATGAATTCAAATGTAATGTCGGTGTAATAGAGTATCAAAGTGTTCCGACTAAAAGAACATTTATTGTTGATAATTGATACAAAATAAGTGAGCCATTCTACATGGCTGTCACAAACACAATTCTGTCAATCAATTATCTTGTTGCCACACATAAAGTTCAAAACTAAAGGAAGAAAAACAAAAGGAATTTACGCTGTTTGCAACAATAAAATGAAGCAAACGATAACTCACATAAACAATATATATATATGTGTGTGTGTGTGTGTGTTTCTCGCATTGTGAAGAAACAACGGTACCTAGTCATTTAATTTTGAATAACATAGTCCTTCATCCGAATATAGACACCTGGAAGCCCGAATTTGGAATTGGTTTTATTCTCTAATTCCCATTTTGTAAAACTTTAACGAATTTTTGATTAAAAACTCAACAATTTCAAAGAAAGCAGTGGCAACATCGTAAGGAATAAAATAATAAAATATTTTTATCTCCAGCGAGACTGTTTATCAGAAATTCTAAAGATATGCAATTTAAAATATTTTTAGCCCTAAAGGACATTAGCTCAAATGCTTTCGAAACGTGTATGTGTCTTTAAATGATAATACGCTTTTTTGGGCGTAATATAAAATGTGAAAGTTTTCAGATTTTATTAATATTTTTTTTTGCCACATATTGGTCAATTTTTTTAAAATTCTTCTTTTTTTAAAAGCATATAATGTCGGAGGAAAGTAACTCGAGATGATATTATAATTTCGTTCCCAGAATAACGTTTGATCAGTCAGTAGGGTTTAACTTTTTATAAGCAGCATATATTGAGACTGAAATGCAAATATTTTAGTAAACATAAGTAAAAATATAAAACTATGTAAAATGCAAACAATAATTTACATAAATTTACTACAATACAGTTCTTAAATTAAAAAACACAATTGAAATGTATTTCGAATTTTAAAATTTCTGTTTCGGAAATTGATAATGAAAATTACTGGAATTCACATTTCCAGAAGCATACCTTTAATAGCAGAATTGAAGTTTTCATCTTGACCGTTTGCAGTTATTTCTTGAGTAGCAGCAGCTGTCCTTTCTGTTCCTGCAGCTTCGTTCTCGTTCACTCTTAATTTATTGAAATACTTAGGTTTAGGCGGAGGTAGAGGTGGAGTTTTTTTACCTACATTTGTATTTTCAAAAGTTTGCGTGCGACAGAGTCCAGAACTCGATATTGCCAATTCAGGACTATCTGGAAGACTGTTGTTTGGCTTCGGCAAATTTTTGGGCTTGGGTGGAGGAATGGGGCAAATCTGTTCAGGAATTTTCTTCGCTACATCATTCTGTTCAGGATATTGGCGAGTGTGTGATGTGACTGGAAGTGTTTTTCTCGGAGAAGGCGTAGGTTTCGGTGGTGGTAAAGGCTTTGAATTTTCTGCTTTTGATACTTGATCGAATTTTTCATCAATAGACATCGTAGGTTGTGAAGTGTCGTTCTTCATATTAGAAAGAGGTACTTTAAGTTTTCCCATTTTCTTTTCTAAACACCGTGTATCAGGAACATCAGAGAATGGAACTGGCTGTTAAGATAAACAAATGAATATTATGGAAGCCAAACACGATTTAAATGAACACACATGAATAAATATCAATATAAAGTTATGAAACTAGAATTCATATTCGATAAATTAATTAATTTATTTTTAAGATTTTTTCTGTTTCTTATGTGGCAATACAATTTTAGAAGCGAACTTTAAGAATTAAGTTTGTGCAATAAGAACAGTTTCTCAGTATATATTCGCTTTAGGGACAACTGTTGTGAAATTAAGTTACATTTAAAAATAGCAAGGACTCCTAGCATGGGTTTAAAAACTACAGTATTTGATTTCGAAACGCTTAAAAATATGTTTTAACACGAAACGTCACAAAAATATCTTTTATTTATTTATTTTTTGCTCCTTTTTCTCAATTTAAATGTTTTAATGCCAAATTAATTAGCATTCAGCAGCATGCCATTTGAAACATTCAAAATATACATATTTTAAAGGCAATGAAGAATTATATATTTACGTATCTCTCTATTTGTCTACCATTTCATCTACTCGTCTATCTATCTGTATGACTGATTATCTCTATCTATTTGCCTCTATTTTCCTGTCTCCTCCCTGCCAGTCCAGCCTTCATTGTGTCTCTGTTTTCACAAATAGATAGGTATAAAAGAGCACGTTAAGAACAAAAGTTTCGACACAATGAAAGTTGAAGTAAGAAATTAATAGATAAATAACGGCTCTTCAGTATATTATATAATGAATATCTATCTATCTATCTCTCTATATATACATACATATATATAGATATACATACATTACATACATATATATATATATTATAATATTATATATATAATTATTAAAACAATTTTAAAAAATAAAATGCCTAGTATTTCGCGCATTAAGCTGCGGAAAATTATCATAAAAGTAAGAAATTTAGAACTAATTTTTCACAAAGACCAAAAATTGAAATTTATAATTAATAAATTTCAATTTATAGGATTATTTGAAATTTAATTAATAAATTTCAATTTATAGGATATTTGGAAATTTATAATTAATAAATTTCAATTTATAGGATTATTTGAAATTTATAATTAATAAATTTCAAATAATCCTATAAATGCAACAAAGAATTTCAAAAATGTTAAAACCAAGACTTTTAAACAAGTAATACCCCAATTCAATAAATTAATGAAATATATATGGAGAACTTGTAGTCTTTCTTTGCCACTCAGTATATATTTGGATATACTATTTTTTCTTTATAAGTGCATATGCTAATAGCATTCTATATAATGCCTAGGAGTTGTATGTTATGCCTCGAGAAAACATGCATGATATTAAAATAATTCGAATATTTCACACTTTGTCCCAAAAGGAGGGCACGCATACTGTATCTTGCTTAGACATGCTGTAGAATGCCTGTTTATCATATATTGCTTGTAACGTATGTCTAAAATAGTCCTTATGCGGCCTTTAATTTCGCATCTGTTGATAGTAGATATATGCTTCCAATTACAAAAATGCTTTAAATAAGGAAAATATTCATGTTAGGCCTTTTTTAATTAGAAAAATGAATTTTGTTAAAATTACAGAACCTAACTTTTTATAGGCCCGTCCCCAGCCGAATAGTTATATATAAGAAAAGTTTTTAACTCATTAAAACCAATAAAAAACAAAAAGTGTGATTTTCGTACGTCTAAATTTTTACTAAATATAATAATAAGAGAATGGGAGGCATACAAAATGTAACATTTGTAATTTTGAAGAACTGGATTTTTAAATTTATAAATACCATTACATGAATATTTTCTTATTTTAAAGCATTTTTATCTGTGAAAGTGAAGGTGTATGACCAAAAGTTCCGAAAATAAAGGGTGTATAAGGATTTTTGTGGCTATGGAACGTAATATGTAAAAGTTATGTGCATTTTTTTTATACAGCATTTATGTATGCAAAATTAGGTACTTACGTACTATGACGACTACCTAGATATCTCGCCAAAACTGACGACTCTTGTAGGATACAGGTTAACCCTAACATAGGTTATAGACGGCGCTAAAATAAAGAGTTTCCGACCTGAAGACAACAACATTAATGCATGAAATCCAAAATAATATTGCTGAAGGTTCAACAATAATGTCAGATTCGTGGCCTGCATATCAAACAGGTCGGTTTTGAACATTTTAAGGTGAATCATCGATATAATTTTGTTGACCCATCTACGCAGACTCATACTTAACACGTTGAAAGGATGTGGGGTTCCGCAAAATGGAAGAACAAGTGACAATGTGGAAAAAACAGGAAACGCCTTTCGATGCTATTTTGAAAGCTATTTTCCACCACTTTCCTCACCATTAACTTCAACGTTTTCTTTTAACCAGTTTTAAGTAATTTTAATTCTTTTAATTCATATTTAATATATAGTTTATTTATAATATGTATATTATATATATATTCGGGATTTTTCGATTTTTTTCCCTTTATAATTAGAGCTTTTTATTTTTAAAGAATTTATAAACATAAACCAAAAAACGCCAATGAAGATTTTTATCGGCAAATGTTGTCAAAGTAGTCGTCATAGTACGTAAGTACCCAAAATTGATGTAATGGTACGCAAAAGATATCTTAAAATAGTCTTTTATTACAAGATTTCATGTAGTTATAAAATTTATATTAATTTCAATAACATAAACATTATTTATAGCTGAATCATTTTAATGAAAGTAGTTGAAGGTATTCTGTAGTTCACCTCACCTCGTATTCTTTCCCATAGTTTCTCTCGTTGCAGCAAGCAGTTTTGAAAACTTCATTATTATCTGAACAACCACCTATGAATATAAAATAATACCTATAAATTAAAAATTAAAGAGAAAAAAATATTTACAAAGTAACATAACATTTGAAACATGTCAACATAAATTTGGAAATGACGACTGTGAGATTTTACAGTGGTCTACATAAAAGCTCAGTCTCCAGTGTCAATCTGAAGCCTGCTTCGGCTATTAGATTATAATATTTCTGTCTGTGTAAATAACTTGCATATCAATGCGTTTCTTTATTGACTAGCTATCGGTTAAATAATAGCACGGTGTATCTAACAAAGTTATACAATAAATCTAAATGCCACATCTAAATTTCTACATATATGGCTCAGCGGTATATCTGTTTAAATCAGCATGCAATATAGTTTAAAAGAGAATTCATTAGAATAACAAAAAATTTAATATAATCTAGAATCTATTTAACATCTCATCAGCAGCACTTGGAGCTGCATCAAACAAACCAAAAACAAGTTCCAAAGTTACACTGTTGCCACTTGGCGTTCTCTGAATTAGTGCTCTTCTACTGATCTTCGTGTTGCCATTCAGAGGCAGAGAAAAGTGTCTACTCAAACCTAATTCAAAAGACGTAGTAATGGTTATTGATGGCTCTGAATTTGAGAATCAGATACCATGATGATTTTATAAATCGCTGTAGGATTATTATGTATTTGGTAGAAAGCAGACTCCCCAAACAGTAAGTTTCAGGTTTGTACACCTTGCACCAAAAAAGAAAAAAAAGACAAGTCTATATATTTCGTTTTACTGAATCGATTATCGAAATTTAACTTGCGTTTTCCACGTCTCCAAAGCACGACTTAGGATATATATTAGATTTATATATATAGCATTGGTTCAAACATAGGTATTTTGACTCAAAATCGGACTTTTTCTGAACTATAACATACCAATTTTTTTCCATATTTCGATTCTACGATTCAAATTATGCCAAAGTGCCAAGTTTTGTAAAAGTCGAACGAGTAGTGTTTAAACAATTAGGTCTCAAAATTTTAGCTCCTCCATGTTAATTGAATTTGGTATATATTTATAAATGCTTCTTTTTTTTATTAAACTTATTTGCTTCTTCCTTTCACATTTCAAAATTCAGGTTCATTCCAAATAAAATTCGCCCGTTTTTTATGATTTATTTTTTAAATTTGTATTTTTAAATAATTTTTATAAATTTTTCGAAAATAAATTTGTAGTGTAATAAAGTTACCTATATACTTTTTACCATCGTCTTAAATTGGATGTATTTCTAAGCATACCTGAAAAAAATTAGAGTTGTTATTCAAAATTTCCTAAAATATACACGAATTTATATATTGGCGCATTTTGAAGTTTGGCATATTTGTTATAAGCGATAATAACGCAAAGTGTGGTTTACCAACTCTTTTTTTGAAAGTATGAACGTCTAATTTATCAGACGAACTGATAAATTAGAGGAAAATATATAAACTTTCAAACAAAATTTCCGTGCCAATGAGTGTAAACTTTTTTGTGTCGTTACTATCTCTGAACATGAAAATCCTCGAAACTTCATTCAAAAGCAGTTTTTAAAGACGGAAAGAAGCAAACCTCCACGATGACGGGAAGCCTGATTGTGACTCCAGCATTAATGATGAAAGTAATCAAATGAATTATTTTTTATTCCTTCTTCTAATGATATTGCATTTGACAGAATTTTAAGGATGGTCTACAGTAACTTAAGATAATTAGTTTATTAGAAAACTGCAATTCGCAAAATATTTTGCTGTGAAGCTAAATGAGCTTGCATAAATATAACTCACTTGCTGGCATTTTAAGCTTTGCAAGAAGCTCCGTGATAGGACAAAGGTATAAAAGATAATTAAAATTTTTTATGAATCTCGGTTTGACATAGAAAGAGTAAAGAACGTTTATTTTCCGGGGCAAAAGCTATAATTGTCCGGTATAGTGAGGCAGTTTCTCAAGGCAAAACTTTGTCTCACAGGCCACTGTATTCTTCTAGTGGAAGCTCTGTTTGCTATCTATCTGCAGCTCATTCGAAAAATATTGATATAAGGCTGGGAAGATCATCGACTTCATATGACTCCGAAGTAGGCAAGAACAAGTTATAAGCACGCTCACTAAAAAAAAAAACACAAAGCATGAAAAGTTTCTATTAAGCGTCTCTATAAGGTGTAATATATCTCCGAAGAAGTTTCTCCAGACATCTGCAGAGCCTGAATTAGTCGTTCTACTCAGAGAAACATACAGACAGGATCTCATTGTCGGTGCCTACCTTCACGATTAATAAACCATTATCAAACTTGAAAGGTATCCGTGATGATTGCACGTCGGAAGAAACATTTTTGAAAATTTTCGCTTTCAGAATATCTGATAGGTTGCCTTACACAAATATTCGTGGAAAAACGTACAAGAGACTCAAGACTCAAGTACAACAGGAACATTTCACCTCAATCGCAAAATGTTCCGTGTGTGTAGCCGGTTCCATCGGTTCAGTGGTTCCATCGGTTTCAGCGACTAATTCGGCTGGGAACCCTCAAGTGATAGGAGAAGGAGAAGCCTGTTTCTTGGAAAGTTTCTTCTACACTAACTACCAATAAGTATTTGGACACCTATGCAAATGAGGATATCTGTGGTCCTAAGGTACGTCACGGTCTCCGCCGGTATATATCGCGTAGGAAACAGCATCGGCTTTAGTCGCATGCAAGATGCCTCGCAGTTCGGAGCTCTCTGATTTCGAGAAAGGTATAATTATCAATTATCACAAATGTGGCCTATCCTTAAGGGACATATCTAGCGATCTGAAGTACCCAAAATCGACAGTGTCTTATGTGATTAAGAAGTGGAAGGTGAGCGGTGATTGTCGGAATGTGCCCCGAGTCGGCAGACCAACGAAATTGGGAGATAGAGACCGACGAAAGCTGTCCAGAGAAATTCGAAAGAACCGCACCCAACCGATGGCCCTCATCCGCGAGGAGTTTCAACAGGCATCCTGGAATATTGTTTCAATGAATACCATCCGTAAGGAAGCACATCTGCTTGGTTTTCATGGTCGTGCTGCTGCCCATAAGCCTTTGATCACAAAGTCCATCCGCACTGCTCGGTTAATGTGGTGCAAAGCACATCGAAATTGAACCGTAGATCTGTGGAAACGGGTTCTTTGGAGTGACGAATCAAGGCTCACCATTTACCGTTCGGATAGCACGGTCTGGGTCTGGCGTCTACCTGGAGAAAGTCTCCTGCCAGAATGCATTGTGCCAACAGTCAAGTTCGGCGGAGGTGGAATTAATGTCTGGGGGTGTTTCTCCTGGTATGGGCTGGGACCCTTGGTCCCCATTCATGGTAAGCTCAACTCCAATGCCTACTGCACTATTTTGGATGACAATGTGCTTCCTACGTTGTGGCAGTTTTACGGGTTGGACCCCTGTTACTTTCAGGACGGCAATGCCAGTTGTCATGTTTCGACGTTAACCAAGGCTTGGTATGGTGCCAATGGAGTTCATCGAATGAACTGGACTGCCCCATGTCTAGACCTGAACCCTATCGAGAACCTCTGGGACGAGTTGCATCGCCGAATTCAGGGATGCACTACCCGTGCAAAATCGGTGAAGGAACTTCTATGTCTTCTCCAAGTCGAATGGAAGAAAGTACCACTAGCTGTCATACAAAGACTTGTGGAAAGTATGCCCCGGAGGGTCCACGCTGTAATTACCTCTCGTGGAGGCTCTACCAACTATTGAATTTTAATAAAGTTAGTTTTTCTTTTCTATCACAGGTGTCCAAATATTTATTGGTAGTCAGTGTAGTGGCATCGCTAGATGTGATATTCCCACTAGCCCGATTGGAAACAAAGTTATTGACGACTTAAAATGGCAACAATCAATGAAATTTTGTATGGAAATCACACATCCGAAGAGGAATGGCAGTTCTTGAATCAATATTTTGTTTATTAAGTAACATAAGCTGCGAAATGTTTGGATTTATTTATTATTTTAATAAACTTAATATGTGATGTGATGTTCATTTCGCATCATAATTTCGGATAGTTTCCTGAATAAGTGAGAGTATTTTTTTAAAATCTTGTACAAGTGATTTGTTATTCAAAGCTACAAAGCTATGTATTTTTATCTTACTTCATTTCTTGGCATTAATTATATCTGCTAAAATATGTTTCAATAGCTTTGCCACATACTTATGCTCAGAGCGTGATATACTGTATAACTAAACTAGAGCCTTTCTTCTGCTTTGTAATTTTGGAGTTATATTCAGAATTTTACCCAATGACTGATGTTAAATTTAATTGTTTAATTTAGCATCAAGATATTCCTGCAGTAAAACTGCTGAATGTAGTTTACGAAATTTTGTTGAGAAAACGTTTTACAGAAATGGATTCTAGTAAAGAAATTTAACTGAAGTATTAATAAATGGAATAGCATGAAATTTAGTAATATCCTTATTTATTTTAATATCAGAATTGCTTTATATTATTAATTTCTTCGCTTTTCTGCTTCATTAATTTCAATTTCTTTAAAATTTTCAACATTTATTTATACATTTATTAAGTATTTTACTCGTTATTTTCTGTTTGCGAAAGCCTCCTGTTTATTATTGCTATTATTATTATTACAACAAATTTTTAAAATGAATAAACGACTGAAAATTTTGCCGATTACTATATTTAAATCAAAGCGATTAAGTCTAGTATTGTATGTACGAATAAATCACGTCATTTTCTTTAACATCTCTGAATGGCTTATTAACTCAAAGCAACTTAATAAACTCGCTTTGCGCAGACAAACTACTGCCAGGCAACAAAGTTGCGGGGAAATTTATTGCGTTGCCGAACAACTTTGTCATCCAGTGTAGACGGGCCTTTAAAAATCAAATTAAGATGATTCTGAAAAGAGAGAGGAAATTGATCATTTATATGCGCTGAAACGACAGATACAAAGTGCGACATTAGTAAAAGATTTATAGATGAACAAGAGATAATTTGCCCAGGTGTGCAATACAGATTTCCTGGCTCACATCTTCCAACGGCTGTAGAAGTGGATATAATCTTTTGATAAAATGAAAGCTGTATTTCAGCTTGATTTTTGAACCAGCAGCCGTCATTATTCCGTTCTCAGACAATTTTGTAAGGAACTGTAAACCTGAGTTTCACAAATGCCTTGTCAAATGAACAAACGAGAATTCCGGAGTTAGATTGTAGTGTTTCGACACATATTTAACTCAAAATGCAGCACAGCGAATTCTGCACGAGATATTTCTTTAGAGAATTAATAGGCAAGTAACGCGTAATACTAGTTAGAAGAAATTCTCTTTCACTGAATTTCATTATAGACACTGAGCATATGGTCGGTCTTGTTTTGCAGCATAATGTTACGAAAGGTTTTTATTCATGGTGTACCCGCAAACAAGTTAAAAATGTGATAGGAAATCCGTGTGAAAGTCTCTGCCGAGCTATTAATCTATAACAAGTTAAAATATACTTCTCTGAGAAATTTCCGAAAATTTACTAGCTCTTGATACCAGAATTATAATTCTATTTTTGTTTCCGAAAAATTATAATTGAACATATTTTGAGGCTTACTTTTTAAACGAATTTCCAAGAAAAAGGTTTCAGATCTTTTGTAGACTTTTGATAAAAGTAATATATTTTTAGGTTTTAGGGAATATGACGATTATCACTGACAGATGATGCAAAGGCAGTAAAAGTAACAATAATTAAGTCAAAAAGTTCAATAAAAGCATTTAAGGTTTCATAGATTAAAAATTGCTTCAGTAGTTTTGTTAAATATCTACTCTAGATTTTTTAAAACCTTACATTCAAAGAAATTTTATCAGATGTGCGTAAAATTTTTATATATGAGTAAACTTTGAGAATTATCACCTAAAATACTTATTTGTAGATCGTTGCTATAGTTCTATGAGCTGATTCTGGTTTATTAGCTTTAAATGAATTATTCTCGGTCACAAAAGTAAAGTATAAAATATAAACATCAAACAATTTACTTGAAATGCTGATATATGACAGACGCTTGATATTGGCATCAGAAGCCTCTGAAATTCTTTTTTCCTTAAGTTTCTCTGAGTCAGCCGCAGATAACTGTAAAATAGTTATTTTAGAATAAACAGTTTTATATATATATATATATATATATAAAATGACTTATGTGTAACACATACAAGCTCATAAACCTGTGCCGTTCTGCATAGGGTTGGCAACACTGCATTTTTAAACTTTCCTTTTACATTATTTTTTGTTTCTATTCAGTTTAGAGTCAATCTTTGCGACTAGGATTATGTATGTTGTTAACAGCTCGTAATGGCTATTTTCAAAGCTAATTTCAAAGCAAAGGGAATGTCAAGTATAGAAAAATGAACACTTCCAATACATGTATCATCCATTCTGATTACCATCTTTTTCGGGTCTCTTAACAACATTGAGGGATAGGAGCTTTGTAATGAAGCTTCTACTAGCATATGGCTAATGGATTTCTTCCATTCGAAACCACAACAGTTCTACAGGAGAGGCTCTTAAGTCGTAATTTAACGCTGGCAGATGGTCATTGATAAACGTGATTACATCACTGAGCGAATGATTTAGTGATTGTTAATTTATGACGTAGCGGGTATAGATATCTTGCTATTTTGTATTATATTGTTTTCTAGTGCATTTTATACTAATAAAATAATAACATGGTAAAAACGGCAGCCCGATGAAGAACAGCTCGGACTATGTACCGATCCAATATATCACATATATACAGGATGAGCAGAAAAGTCCTTAAATATTAAAATAAGTTTCGGACGAAGAAAGCTGTTTTGCTTACTTACAGCGTTGTTTTTTAAACCCTTTTGATTTACCTACACTTTTAGAAAAACTGAATGTTTAACGGCCTCTGGTAATCAATATCTATATTTTTTCCTTTCACAAAAGTATGTAAGAAAATAAAACAGTAATGGAGAGATGGGATTATTTGTATGATTAAGAAATTAACAGCAAATAACAAGTCATATTTAAATAAATTGCATAATGAACCGGAATGCACACTAAAGCAGGAACAAAATTAATTTAATGAAAACAATGAGCTTCTACCATTTTATTAATATTCAGCTCCATTAATGTTAACAATATTCTGACGATTTCTTTTTTTTTTTTTTTTTTTTTTTTTTTTTTTTTGTTGTTGTTGTTGTTGTTGTTGTTGTTGTTACTGCACTGAGTCCGCAGACAATGGTGTGAGAAATTTCTGCACCAGATTCTATACGCCGAGGTAAGTTTCAGGTATTTGCTTCTGCAGTCAAAATTGTTAGCTTATACAAATTTAGCTTTTCATTTGCTCCTAAGTCAGTAAATTCTAAGTTTAGATATGCTTCTTGAACTGCATAAATGAATGCGTAATAAAATGGGTTCGAAAGCCATTCGGATACATCCATTTGAAAAATATTTTGAAACCACTTCTTGGGTTTCAGTACCAGAACTTTCTGTGTTAGCAACATTCTAATACATCTTCGTCACTTTTTTCTAGAGCTGACAAATTTGGGAATGTGATTTCTCCAAATAGCCTGTCATTCAAATAATTACCTTTGACTTTATTCAATGCCCTGGTGACGAGTTGAAGTGAGCTATGTAATTGCTCACTCAGGTTTATCGCTACGAGATGTTGCCGATGAAAAACGTATTGTGTAGACAAATTAATTTATATTCCTGTTTTTAGGTGTGCTACAATAACCATTTTGGTGTCGAACTATCGCTAAAGCACCATCAGTAACAACTATATTTCATTCATGAGAATTTCTGTATGTTAAAAAAACCTTCATAACACAAAATAATTGTTCTCCTCTAGTATTAGTTTGTCAATGTCGGTCAAATAATAACTCTTAAAGAATTTCTTGGCCCTTTCTGAAAAGCACAACAGCAAGAACTTAGGCTTTTTTCCCCTGTAAAAGTTGGTTCACCAAGTTGTGTATAAAAATTAGATGTTTTCAAAGGCAATCCGGACAGTTTTCAATGCTTTCTGCCAAATCATTGATTCTTTTTAAGAATGTGCCTTTTGTCGAAGGGATTTTTGGTGACATTCATTGTTAACTTAAGTAACATTGTAGAGACATTAGGATTTTTTTGGAAGCACGAAAGATAAAAAATTAGCAACCGCCTTCGTCGGGAATCGAACCACGGACCTCTGGAATACTGGCCCAGCGTGCAGAACCACTACACCCCGAAGGCACGCTAGGAAGGCGAGAGAAATACCTTATAAAATAGTACGTAATACCTCCTTCATGGCGGCCCGTTAGTTGCCAAGTGGAAAATTCGCTTAATATGGTAGTTCGATCCGTGTTCAAACTACCGTATTAAATGACCATACTTTCTTCATGTGTAACGTGAATGGAACCAATTTCTCTCAGAATGTTTTCCACGAATGCTTTCCTCCATTAGGCAGAGAGCATTCGAGTGTTTTGCCTTAATATGTAATCCAATCCGTATTCCTTGTTCCTTTATTGCTAGAAGAACCAACTCTTCTCAATAGATTTCCCAGTTCTTTAAGTTAAGAAGAGTTTAACTCATAGTCATTTTGTTTGGATGCTGTTGAAATGAGATTTGCAGAAGCGGCCTGTTTAACAAACTTCTCTTTGAGTTCATGAACATAATTCTGTTTTATATATCTATCAAAAATCCATCAAGAAAGGATGGATCCAAAAAGGATGGAAGCTTGTATCTTATCGCGCTGAAGAAGGGGAGCATGTATCTGATCGCTCTCGAAATCGATAAAATTTTATTCGCCAAACTCTTTTGTTTAATTTTAAGAGGTGGAAATATGTTATTGAGCAGGAAGGTTTGTACTTTATTTATTATTTAAAAAAATTAAATCATAAATGGGGAAATAACCATACCTTTTCCTTTTTGGAATTCTTCCTAGGTTTCCATGTGATTAAATTCTTCAAATCTGGAAGTGCGAATGTAGAACATTTTCTGGATTTCATCCACTGATTCCTTAACTCTTGGAGGGCAAAATCCCAGTTTGAAGCTGCCATTTGGTGACGAGCATGCCATTCTCGAAACTGCTGCTCTACTTGAGATATTGTTTTCTCTCCCCTCTTAAAGCAAAACATTAGCTCGAGCAACTCTTGCTGACTGTCGTTCAAGCAATGTTTGGGTAAGGAAGGCTGTCGGTCCAAACACATACTACTCTCTGAAACGAGAGATTATTTGTAAAATTATTTTTATTCAGATTCAAAATAAGAATCTTCTTTTAACACACAAAGTCTTGATAATTAATTAAGTTAATAACTGTATTAGTTTTCTATTCTTTCAGCAAGATAGACTTTGAAGAAAGTGTAGCAGTCTCACGTATAATTGGAATTGCCAGATTCTCCTTTCTGCCTACATTATTGTAAATGTAGAGCACATTAATGATTAATGGTATTATTCTTGTGTTTACTACACATTCGAATATCGAAAAAGGTTCTGAAAGAAGGAACGAGGAATTCTTCCGGGGGATATATATTTCATCAATACAAGTTTAAGAATTTTCGAATTTTCAGAGCGGTTTGTGTCTTCTTCTGATAGGTTTTTCATACTTATTCTTACTCATCAGTACATCGCTTGTCACAGACTCGATATTAGATAAATAAACTTTCTTATACTGGAACAAATGAAGAAGAGAAAGAGAACATAAGCTTTCAGAATAAATAAGTTGACAACTACTTGCGTGAATATATATAAACTGAACTTTAAAATGCTTTTCATATAAAAATAAAATGACTGTGAATCTTTATGAAAACCCTACAGAATTCTTCCATTGAACTTTAAAACAAATGGAGTTCGAAAGCAGTTTGCTGAAAATCAACGAACCCATCTGTCATTTAGCTGTCTCATCACTGAGAATATTACCCAGAGTACACCACAGAGAATAGCTCGATGCCACACTTAATAAGGGAAAACAAGCACGCATACCTCCAAGTTGAACTCTCACCCTTGATTTTAAGCTAACAATCAGTCTCTGCTAAGAGCGTGCAAGACGATGGATTAACAAAACTGGAATAGGAAACTGAAAGAGCGAAATCATTAGAATATCCACTGATCTATTAGCATGTTACATGTTAGACGCAAAAGCTAAAAGAGAAATAAACTGTAACTCGCACTGGCCTTGGAACCTGAAATATCTCAATGCTAATGGTGTAGTGAAGAACATTAGTATGCGAGAAAAACCATGAAATAAGAAGCTAATAAATAATCGGCGTTAGATTGCTGTTAGATAAATATCAATACAAACTTAAAACAAACTCAAACATTTATTAAGTCTCTACTCATTGTTAGTTTTGTAGAGACATTAGGTTATTTCGAAGCCGGCGACATGAAAATTGAGCAATGCTCTCTCCGGGTCTTTAACCTCTCGAATACGCGCGCCGAGTGTGCTGGCCATTACACCCCGAAGGCATACCAAGAAAGTGAGAGAAATACCTTATATACTCCCCCCTTTTAAAGGGCGACTGGGGATTAGGGGATGTAATCGACAAATCCTGGTGGTGGAGAATTATAATCCACCACTTTTTTTAGTTCGGACGCCATTGTAGAGGCATTAAGTTATTTTTTAAAGCAGGGGACATGAAAAATGAGGAATTCCCTCGCTGGGATTCGATACGCGCCGAGAGTGTGCTAACCATTACACCATGAAGGCATGCTAAGGAGGCTGGAGAAATACTTTATAGTTTTACAGAAACTAAAATTAGCCACCGCTACTTAAAGAGACGAAAAATAATGAAGCATTAAATTTCCGAAGAATAAGCTGCTTTCTTATTGAAAATTAATCAAGACTTAGATTCCCTGACTGATCTAAACAGAATTTGGGTCTCTATAATGAAAAACAAAGCTCTAATTCTCCTAGCCACTCGAACTTAACTAAACGCTAAGATAATCGAATTGCCATAAGGAATAAGAGTTAAATGTTGTCAGCCAATTATTACTTTTTAACTAAATCATGTAACATACGATCTGGACGATAAGATTTTCTCTTCCTGATAAGAAATCTTTGGTTTTACTGGCAAAATACTTGAGGGCTACCTGACTAAGCGAAAGGCTTTCTAAAGGAAACTGACTTGTATGACGTCACTGACTCATGTCTGCTGCAAAGATGTGTCTTCGTTTCTCATATTTCTGTAAATGAAGCAACGTTAATGAAATAGAAGGCTGAGTAGAGCCTAAATTTGTCTGTTTACTGACCTTGATTTGAACTACATCTGAGAGGGAAGAAATAAAGAAATTAGTTAACTAAGCATCCCTAGGTAGGTGTTTCGAAGTTGAAAAGTAAGTAATGGTAAGTAATGGTCAGTCTTTGGGAGCATTACAAAGCCATTTAAAATAATTATTACGTTAAATATTAAGTGATTGGCCAAAAGGGTACAGACATGTGTGAGTTTCGCAAAGGTATTAGAATTGCTTCAGAGAAAAAGTGTCATTGTTAAGTTTATAAAAACCAAATGATGAGTAATATATGAATCCCTAGCTAACTGTCATTAATAAATTTTTCACATAAGACACTCTCAAAATTACTCACCTATGTCCAGTGACATGTAAGGATTGCTCATCATAGAATTTAAGATATCATGATTATGCTCGCAGAATGACGTTTTGCACGACTCTTTCGCCATATTAATGTGAGCGTTATCTGAAAAATAATGATTATCAAATAAGTTATGCAGTAAAATTAACTCTTACTCGTGTTTTAATTATCAGTCAATTCGAAGACTGTAAGAATAAGAAATTGTTCATCAACTTCTTTTATACAATTATTGCCTATGCCTTTTCTAGATTACTTCATGATTAACATAGTGTAAGGGGTAGAAGTCTCATGATGAGAAACATTATGGGTAGAGACATTTACAGCAAATTATGCCTATTAAAATATAACACTTATATTTCCCCGCTACGTGTGTCTATTGGTGTGGTGTATTTAATTTTGACAAAGCACACTAGGGCTATCTGCCTAAGGGGAGGGATGCCTTCGTGGAGGACTTTCTAAGGGAAACTGGCTCGTATACACGTTACACATGGGGAAAACCATTTCCCCGCTAGAATAACAAGATAAAAAGGTTTTTCTGATGTGAGCTTGTTCTTTGTGAGTTTTTTCTGCGTGTCCTGACAATACCAAAGGCCCAACAGTGACGAAGCGGTATAATCAATAAACACTCTTAGTTTGACCCCAGTTCAAATCGCCGGCAATATGTCGGCTGCATTGAATTTTTCATGATTTTCTCCATGTGTAATGTGGGTACGAGTATGCTTTTCTTAAAAGTCCTCCAAGAAGGCATCTCACCTCTTTGGCAGGTAGAAAGCCATCATGTGCTTCCACATAAACCAAATTAAATCTTTTTCGTTATCATTCTTCTCTTGATGTTACTTTAAGTCAGGATTAACTATTTTCAGGGGTATTATTCTGTTAGATGTAGAATTTACTTGATAGTACTCGACATTTTATTTCGCTTTATCTTAGGCATTAATTAAATTATGGTATGACTGGTCGATTTCATTTATTTAAATGACAGTAAATAATAATTATGTGCAGTGATACCATTACTAGTGACAACATTCTTAAGCATAGTAAAATTTGCTGTATTCACACATCGATTAGATTTCGATAATTCCAAACAAAATCGGTTTGTCTTTATAAGTTTTCCCATTTAAACAAGCTGTCTGGTTTCACTTATTTAATAATGACAAAGCACTCGGGGGCTTTCTGCCTAAGCGGAGGGATGCCTTGCCGATGGACTTTAAGGGAAACTTAAAGTACACACCTTACACATAGGGAAAACCCCCTAAACGCCCATGCAGCCAGGCCCTCCGTCGAGATTCAAATCCCGGAAAATTCTTTTTTTCTCCGGGACGAGGTTTTAGATGTTCTTCTCAGTATATCAGAGCCCTTCCAAATTCTCTTTACAAAGAGATCGTCAAAAAACATGTTTCTGTGTATTATAAAAATATTTCATCGTGGTTTTACTTTACAACAACTTGTTTTCCCCTGAGTGTTATGGCACGAAAAAATCAGCGAGACTTCAAGTACTTTTGAGCGTACAGTTTCTCGAACTTGCTTTCAGAAACAGACCAAAATCTGGATTTAGCCTGTCTTCTAATCAAACGCACTGTCTGTGTACAGGGTGTCCCATAAATAATGGTACAAACTTTAAGCGCAGATAAGGTACGTCAAAAGAATTGAGAATTGTATAGCAATCCATGATCAGAAATATCATGGGAAAGTGGTATCAGAGACACAAGAAATAAAAGGAACACAAGACAGAGATTATCAGAAGTATTTAGTACTCATAACTATTGCATAATACTATAGTAGATTATATCATTTCAAAATGTTACAAAAGATGTTCAAAGTATACAACATTACAAACACTGCATGCGTTACACAGACGGACCATGGATTGGTGAGCAAGGTCATCTAGATTTTCTTGGATATTTACAGCAGTGCAGAAAATTTTTGTAACCATATCCATTTCAGGGTCGACAAGGGTTTCATACGCAATAGCTTTCAGTACTTTCCAAGGAATGAAATCCAGGCTGCTCAGATCCGGACAACATGGGACCAGGACACTGGTCAACTACGTTCAATCCATCTTTAACCAAAAGACACACTCAAATGTCTTCGAACACATTTTTCCATAATGGAAAGGCTCCCTATCATGTTGAAACCATAAGCTGTGTATCACATTTTACGGGACGGGGTGATGTAACCCTTACAAGGTGACGTAAGACGAATAGAATCTGTTCCAAAGAGATAAGAATTTGCTGATGTCATAGGTGATGGCAACAGTTAAGTTCCGACTAAGAAGTCGCTGAGTAAACTAGCCCAAACATTATGAAGAGCGCCACCTAGCGGTGTACAGTGACGTTTGCCGTCACGGGTTAGTGTCGATTTCTAAATCCTGTTGATGTAATCTACTTATCCTTAAAGTTTGTACCAATATTTATGAGACACCCCCATATACAAAGTTTCGAATGTATCCGTCAGCTAGTCACTGAAAAACAAAAATTCGTGCACAATGTTTTGTTTATTTAGAATTTAGAAAATTATATTAACATTATTCTCAAATTAAGCAACCTATACATGATCTAAAAACATAATAAGTAATTACACAAAGTTTCATTTGAATTTGATCAAAGTATTAAAAAGACAGAGTAAATTACAAATACACAGACTTGTGGGCTTGTGTTCTACATCTAAAAGCAGGATTTTTAAAACTATGCTTTGTATGTTGTATGGTTACTAATGTTGACTCAGTTTTTACATACCTGAACTTGAAAGCTGGAATTTATCTAAATGTCTTTCAAACGGACTTTCGTAAAAGTTTACTGTTTCATACAAACTGGATGGAAGTGACCGAGAGCGCCTTAAAGTCCTAGTGTCCATGCTATCTGTGAAAAAAATGAAGACAATATAATTCGGATAATAAAAAAAGAACAGCTGTGAAGTTAATTACTTGGGTTCTAAGAGTTCTTTATTACGTTAAGAAAAACTGCCTTTCAGATCAGTTTCCAGTGTTTATTTGCAAAATGTGGAAATACCATTTTGCAAATAAAACACTCTCTTTGTTATAAAATGTCCAAAATGCGACAAACAAAAAGTAATAAAAAATTGAGCAAAATTTAAAGTGAAAAGTTTGGAACAGGTTAATATGTTTAAAAGAAACAGACATCGTTTTTTGTGCAATAAATTTTCGCATAATAACTAATAATTAAGAATCTATAAATAGTTAATGAATAGAATGATTTCTGGATTTCATTCAACAAAATTCCAGAAATCGTTTTTTTTTTTATTTGCAAACAATAAAGTAAGAGAAAATAATCTGAATTTGAATCTAAAATAAGAAAAATTTTTAATAAAAGCATGTTCAATTAAATTCAATAGATAAATAACTCGATAGTTAATAATAAACATTTACCTTCTTTCGTCTTTAAATGTAATTTGATTGGGCATTCATACCCATCAAAATCTTGTTCACTTTCAAGCGGAATGTCCTGAGCCTCAAAAATATACTACAGGAAGGGCAATAAATATTATTATTCACAAAATGGAAATTAAATTATTATAAGATATTTATTAAACTATTGTACATGATAGCTATATTTTCTAGAAGTCTAAACTTCTAATCATTACTATGAAATTTTAATATTTTTTTAATTTTTAATATTGTAATATTCCAAAATACCTGCACGGAAAAAATAAATTTTACAGGAAATTTCCTTAAATATTTCTGATCTAATTATCAACTGTTTGAATGATGATAACCATTACATGAAAGTGTCGAAATAAGTGTTCGTGTATTTTAAATAATTTGGAGTAGTTTGAGGCAATATAAGTTGAAAACTGCTCACTAATTTGTGAATTGAAAAGTAAAGAACAAATAATTTCATATTTATCCGGATATCTTTATCATGGATAATTTATCGAAAAACAAAAGAGTGCCATCCACATATTTCTTATCAATTTACCATTTTATTCCTGTTAACGAAATAATTCAATTTTTTTTCTTTTAGGTATGTGACATTTGGATATCATTAAATATGGTCAGATTACTTAGGTGAACGCCGCCCAGACGGTATAGTGGTTAGGGGAGCCTACTGTGGTAACGAAGGGGCCAGATTCGAGTCCCCGACAAAACACGGATGTTTGTAAATGTATAGTGTCTTTGCTGTATGGAGGCACTCTAAATATATGGCAAGTCGAAAGTCCTCTCATGTAGATTGGTGGTAGAGGAGAGGAGTGAGATCCTTAACCCCCCCCGGGGGTACTCTTCCTCAAAACTGGGGTGGGAGTACAAGTCCTTGAAGCTCTGGCAACTATTCTTTCGTGAAAAAAATGGATAAGACGATAACAACCGCAACTTAGGTTAAACCATGATGAGAGTTCCATCTTTAGTCGAAAGAGTCACAAAATTGTGAATACTGATAAAATAGGTAGCAGGAAAAAGTAAGATTATTTTAGTAAATATCTGATGTGGCTACCACATGACTTCCTTGGACGGCCTATTAAATAATACACATTTTTTGCTGCACTTCATTTGAACCTACTTCATCGAATTTCATTACAGATACAATTCTCATTCTATCAATCCAGTTATCACTTCGCGGTAGGCAAAAATAAATAAAAACTCAAAACATCTTTATTAAAAATTATAAAATGCAGAAAAACTTAAAACATAAATTACGGTTAAAAACTGTATTTGGTATTTTAGATTTTTTACGATTTACGAATTTTTTACGATTAAAATTAGAGTTTTTACACCAAGATAAGCAATTGAGTCAGGAAGAAAAAATTTTCGGTTCACAAAATTGTTAATTCTTGGCCACAAAAAGTTAATTCTTGGCCTCAGTGGACAGATGAAAGTTGAAAGTGGGTCCGGACACCCGGGCGGCTTACATGGACTATTTGGGTATTGTCAGGAACCCACAACTGTCTAGAACATGTAATTTCTGATTCTCCAGTAGCACTGCATCAGGAGTTCATTTAGAGATGTTCAATATCATATAATGCCAAACAATGGCCACATGCTAAGAAATACAAAGGAATGGTATTTGTTGAATGTAGACAGATGGTACCAAAACATGACACGTTTGAGGTATGGATATTGCAGGATGAACATATAATATGGGCACCTATACTAACAGGTAGTAGGTCACTAAGCATCAAATAAAACAACTGTAGAGATAAATACTAAATACTAATACAAAAAAACACTGTTACGGGTGTGACAAGCACTGATCATACAAATACTATATGCTGCTGATATACTGTGGGTAATATGTTCAATAACACTGAAGATACATGTTACACTAAAGATACGAATCCAAGGACATTAGTTATGATGTTGCGTGTAATACATGCGTACATAACACTGGTTCACTCTGTTATTCTAATAGGTCAGTTAAAACAATAGTATTTACGGATTGTAGACAGAAAACTTACTCATAAGGCATTTCAGGCATAAGTACTGTGAGGTGAATATATAAGTACAACACTAAAGGTAACATAAAAGACGTCGCTAAAACATTTAGGCACATAACATTTGCATAACACTATTATAAATACTGAGACAGATAGATCCTATGTAAAAGACATTTCAGGTATTAGTAATATGTGCGAACTAATGCAAACTATAATACAAAACTAAAACAAACAAACTGCGCTACTAATGCTAACCAAAACTAAAACAAACTGCAACACTAATGCTAATATATAATACAAAACTTAAACATCTAAATATACGCAAATTCATGACACTATTCTAGGCAGTGAGACATACAAACTCCACTCACAAAGCATTTCAGGTGTATGTACTGTGATATGAACATTTACAACGATGCTGATGCTAACAAATAATACAGCACTAATGCATCTAACATACACAAATACGAACCACTATTTGTGCTTACTAAGACATGCAAAATATAATACTATACTGGAGAAAATTAGAGATACATGTTGGATTGAAGATTCAAATGCTTTGGTCGATAAGTATGGTATATGCGGTTACGGTAGAAATATTTTATTTAAATACGTACCAGACGTTGATTTACTGAATTATACTAATTCGTTCATTAGGAGACGTGCACTCAGGTAAATTGAAACATACCTACATATGCAAGTAAAATATTATATACACACGAGTGGTCGAATCGATAAGTTATTATATCACTTATACTGATACACTAAAATACACTGGAATTCGCATACATATGCTGAATCACAAGGACATATTTCCTGCAGACAATTAAGAATTTAATATATTTATACGTTGTCCTGAGCATGCTAGCGCTACACAAAAAGGTGAAACGATCTCAAGAAGAAGCATACCATGTGACCGTGTGGGAAACGTATAGTTCAAATAACGTTTGTTTGCAGAATTTTGCCATAACTATACACTTTTATATAAAAACATCTAAATACAGCTATCTACACGTGTCTCTTGAATACACTTACTGTAAGAAACAGTATATCTGAGATGGATATTAAGCTGAGAGCTGAATTTTATGTTTTTACGAACCTCGGGTGCATGCTCCTGAAGAGGCAGAGTACTACGGCATAGATTTGTGGAGAAGTAAACTCTGTACTGCAAAGTTCGTGCTTTGAGTTCCAAGTATGCTCACGATGCACTTTATCTTTTTATGAAATAATGGTTATTTAACGAGAAATTTTTTGTGCACAACCAAGTCTGATGGAAATCTAATATGCCAGGTTTTCTGTGAGCGGTCATGTAGTGGTCGGGCTATCCGAACTCACTGCACAGACAGATATTGATGCCTGCAATAATACATTTCTCAAAAACGAAGCTTGGGGATGGCCCATATCCCGTTACGAATCTCGTTAGGTCTGTGTCTGAGACCAGTCTTTCTATTGATGTTTTATGGAAGAATTGGCGGGTCCTTCTGTCCTGTGGGATTGTTTCCCAATTTTTCTGCCATTCAGTTAGAGCTGCCTTCCATGTTGCTCGTTTAATGTTACTCTTATGAAGAAGGATGTTAACGGGGTGCACCACAATATTGAGGGCTGTCTCTTTTGCAAGAGCGTCTGCCGTCTCATTCCCCTGACATCCAGCATGAGCATTGATCCAAGAAATGTGGAATGGTGTCTTGGTGCTTCGTTGGTGCAGTAAATTTTGCGTTTCCGCTGTGAGCGGGGACGGATGGTATGGATTCTTTAAGGACAAATTTGCTGGCAGACTGTCAGTGACTCCCAATGGCCAAAAAGACATTGAAATTTGTGCACAACTGACTTAATTAACTATTCTACTAAGAGTTTCAATTATAAACAAATGACGGCCTCATTAGGCCTAGCGCCACTTTTAAATTGTCCATACTATTGTATGGAGATTAACTAAAGGCATAAATGTCTTAACCGAAACATAAGAACAAACATATAAGAAGTTAAACTATTGCATTGAAATTACAAATAAATTTTTATTTTCCGAAACTTTTAAGAAATTTAGTATGATTCATATAGGAATTTCAGATTTAGCAGTAAAGGTTCTTCATATCAAAATATGTATTCTCAGATTTAATACACCTTTATTAAATGGTTATTGAAAATAACATTTTACCTCAGAATTTCGTTTCTGGACTTCATCCAGAACTCGCAACGTGTCACTGAAAAAATGCTCGGTTAAGTGCCCTAATCCGTATTTCTGGCAGAGGTCCATTAAGCTTTGCGTTCTTTCTTCCTCTGAATCATGATCATCTACAGAAAGATAATAAATGAGTGAAAATAAAAAGAAGAGGCTTCATCCAATAAATTTGATATATACACGAAGTCAAATATATAAATTAAACTTGCATTCATACGTAAACTAACTGGGTTCTCATGCTACCGGGTGAGGCTAAGATCAAAACTCATTATTTTTTAAAAGTTTCTAACTTGCTGTCTTCATTGCGATAATTTTAACATTTAAAAAAAATCAAATTGGACGGTAGATACAGTACAGCAATTTTTAATTTTGCCATTCCTTATTATTTCTTAAACTTGACTATTATACTCAGAGGAATTATAACAACTCTTACAAACTATGAACGTTTCTAAAGCCAAGTACGCTTGTGCAGTTTGTATCTTTAGATCCATTTAAAACCTTAGATATCTGAAAGATTCTCGAATTATGTTCGAACTATGGAATAGCAGAAAACTCAGCATTTTAAAGAATCTAGAAATTTGAATTATTAAACATTCTGAAAAATAGTTGGTTTGCTCATTCTATTATGCCTGCATTAATGAGCAAAATAACTATGCTTTGTGTTAATTAACTCAGTTATTTTATTATTTTGCCTATATTACCAACTCTACTTTCTTTGACTCTCACCGATATGCAATATGTAACTGTAGAACTCTTGAATTCAAGAACGAGCCTTTGGCAGCTGTCGCTGATCGGTTACGCTGTTACATTTCTCTGCTACTGAACAGGTTTTGAGCATTTACTTAGTGTAAAATTTAAGACCAGAATCAAATCTTATTTGGAAAAGTGTTATTTTGTATTAAGTATTTTAATCTGACAAAGCATTATTTCAATATTTCTTGCAAAAAGCAATTATTAAGCTTCTGTTATTATATGGTTTGTGTAAACATCAGGCAGACGTATTAAAGAATAGGTATATTACAAACCTTCAAGGTTGTTTGTATTCACTATACTTTAAAAGGTTAGGTAGAGCTATAAATCATCTATCTGTCCTTATGGTTCTAAGAGTTGATTTTTCAAGTAGTGTAGAACCGTAAAATAATAACGCAATTTGCGCAAAACCTCAGGTAGTTTTTGCAAGAATTTTTGCTCTGCAAATTTGCAGTTATATTTTCTATATTTTGTTTAATCTATAAAAGAATGCAAAATACATCATAATGTGACACCCATCATATTGCCTGGAGACGAACTGAAACGTATGGACAGAAGAACTGTATGTTCAGGTACAAGTTAAGTGAGTAGGTCACCAGAATTTCAGTATAGCTTGCACAAGTATAGTCTCACTGCACTAACTATGCAACTCCGTCCGAATTTTGAGAGTGAACATTGGAATCTTTGTCACATGCATTCTGATTGATATCTGTGACCCATCATCTCAGACAGCCTCTAAACAGAAATCATAAGAATTCAATTCTGAAGATCTTCACACTAAAAGCAAGGGCTTATTGCTCCATTTTCTTTACCTCTTTGTCGTATATGTGAGAAATAATATAATCCTCGCATTAAAATGCATACCTTAGCTTATTAACACACAGTCAGAGGTGAATACGGTCGGTCCAACTGGCTCAGACAACAAGAGTGCATTAAAAATTATTTAAGTTTCCAGCTATTCGCTAAGGCTAGAGTGGCATGACACAAGGGTATTGGTACCTTTCTAAACTGACACACGCTCTCCAGATACAAGTGTGCCCTGATATAAAGACACAGATTTGCCGACACTTTCATGAAGTTCTATATCATGAAGAAAGCAACGCTTGCCAAGGGGTTAGCAAACAGTTGCCTATTTTCATAATGGTGTCAGCATCTTTATAACATTTTATTATAGCATCTTTATAACATCATTCGGATATCGGAACATGAAAATTCTTTGCTTTAATGCAGTGGAGTAAAATATTGGGTAACAAAATTATGAATTAGCGAGAAGCTAACGACGCTGGGGTTAAACTGTTGAGTTTATTACGGTTACCATTAGTTTATATTTCGATTTGATTTCATTTAGAGCCTTATTAAATCTTTTCTTCCAGTAAATTTATCTTTTTCCTGCATAAACTCTACAATTACGATTAATGCTTCATGTTTTCAAACCATCACTGGAACTAGAAGACACCTAGGTAATTTTCCCGGACTAACGATAGCCCCACTTGCCTCTGAAAACAATCATGTGATACAGTAGTGTGTAGTGGATCCAACAATGTCAGGCCATTGCAAAACTCATTCATTTTTATGGTACTGTATTAATCTATGTGCATGATGTCTCTAAATTTGAAATAAATCAATTTTATTAGCTTAATTACATATATTTTTCCACAAAATATATCAACCTGACGTTTTTCTAAAGTGCGTCAAATGTTTAAACATTAAGGATATAGAGTTTCAACATTTTCTCTTATAGCTATGTGTGTGGAACCTCGAGAACTGGTAAGCGAATAATCGTTTTAGCTCAGGAAACAGAAACGTAAAAATGGATTAATTAACCCTTTATTGCTCAAAATAAAAATTTACAGACGGCTCCTGTCTTAGAGCGTACAGAAAATCCTCCACTAGGGCTTGAATTCAAGAGTACTAAGAAATCAAACTTAACTAATGCTTAACTAAAAAAAAATATAGCCGAAGCTATCAAAATTCCAAAGGAGTTAGCCCCTAAATGGCGAAGCTGTCAAAGGCCTGAAATACGGCCGAGCGTAGTTATAGCTTAGAGAGAGTGTAGCCAAAAGGGAAACTCGGGCTAGTCCGAATCTCTGCCTCTCTAACGAAGTCAGTGGAATTTCGACTTAAGTACCGCTCTTACTCATTTGCATTAACCGCGATTCTAAAAAACACACTCTGTCAGGAAATTTTAAGCTGAAAGAAGGGACGGAAAAATAGCTTTAACTAAAGATTAACTGTTAAAATCTTAGGATACACCTTACAAGGATAACCGAGAAATAATGTATACAATAAAGCTGTGTCGCACTTGAACGTCACAAAACCTACTATTTGTTATATATCCAGTTTAGAAATAATGTAGGAAGTAAATATAATACCTGTCTGTGAGAGTTTACATGAGCTTTCACGTAGCCACAACAGTAGATAAACATTTACATAAGAAAATTTAACAAATTCCATAATCGCTTGCCTTTCTGTATTAGTCGCGATACCATAAGTTGCAGATTCACTGAAACATTTTTTATGGCCACTTTTGCTAAAATGACAGTTCGTAGGATTTTAAGTTTATTAACAAGTTATCTTACCATTTTGCCTATAATATCAGTTCTACTTTTACCAGGATGCAAATTATTTAAGGCATATTCAGAACATACTTCTTGAATTAACGAGAGAGCTTTTGGAAGCTTTTGCTGACCATCTTTGTACGACTTTCTCATATTTTATGAATTGACTTGAATCGGATTTAGTCTGTGCTAACCGTGTTTGCTCGTGTGAGTCGAACGTCTGGGCCCAAAACTTATAGGCGGACTTTATCTCGCAAGTTTTACTTTAACCCTTGTGTTATGTTAATTCCACAAGCAGCGGAATCTTCTATTTTTACACGAAATTTGTAAAATTGCTCGGATGAAGAACAAATAAAAGGGATTTGTTTCAAGCCTTTCCTTAAATTGTCAAAAATTATTTAAAATACATAGTTTCTGCGTAAGTTTATCGTTCATTTTTTCTAAAAGTTAAAGAATAAGTATTTTTACAGGAGAAGAAACGCAGAGTAAAGCTTCATCCGGTATGAATGTCGTAATATTCAATGATTCTTTTACTTCTAGTGTAGAAATAGTGTTGTTTCGCAAACGATCAACATAATTTGAACTTTTGACAGGGATTTTTCAAATATACAGCAATCCACAAAGTAAAGCTCCTTCTATGTTGGATGTTAAAAACTTCAGTGCTTGGTTTTCTCCCAAATTAGGAGCAATATTGTTTTGTAAAAGGTCAACATGACTCTGAGGTTTGATAATAATGATTGAAATGCAGAGAAATCAGAAGTGAAGCTTCATCCTGTCTGAATGTGACAAAATTCGATGCTTTCTTTTCTTCTGAGTTAGGAAAAATTTCATTTCGTCAACTCATTCTGATATTTTACAGGCATAGCTCAAACACAGAGGACTCCAATTTTTAGTCATAAATGGAATAAAAATTTACCTAATAGAATTTCGAAATATAGAAAATCTACAAATTAATTCATTTTTATGTAATAGCATATATGTTGTAAATTCCTTAAAACGCAGTTTTTTGAAAATTTACTGAATATTAGAACGTCATGTATGTTAGTGCAGCGTAGTAATTTGATACCAGAAATAAATTTTGGATGATAATTTTTCAAGATTTAAAACTTCGGAGCAGTACCACAGGAAAGTGTCTAATTTTACTACTCCAAAGTAATTTTGAAATATGATGCTTTGTAAGCAGTGTTTACATTACCACGGAACTTGAAATTTCAAATCACCTTTAGTCGGCCAAAATCACGAAATACGAAATTAAGTAAAAATCTGACATTGAAAGGAAAGGAGAAGGCAATTGAATGCTCACTTGATGTCTTTTGCAGGTTGGCGCCTACCATGGACCTTGTAAGAACGGTTCTAATAAGGTCGATGGCTTATCATATTTGATACAAGCAGCGTTGCGAAAATTATGCTCTGGGGCAGGAGAACGGAGCTGCGAGGAGCGATAGAAGGTGGTAGTCACATGGTACAATTTCTTGTTTATTTTATCCAAGAACGACATAGCTGACTTTTCGAACGTCGAATACGCTGATATATATTTGATTTCTGGCCGAGCAAGTGGCAATGGACGCTTAGCACTACGGATATGCCACAACAGCAATATCCGACAAAGTGCTGTCCGTTCGGTACCACACCTTTGCGAAGCTAGATCCATAATTAGTAGCTGAGGCCTGTGCAGTGATGTTCGCAGCTACTACTTTGAACGTACATCCAATAATAATTCTCATTGCCCTTTCACCGTCACTGTATGTAAACATATTGTGAAATAAAATTGCTTTTGTACTTATTATTGCACTCTTTTTTTTTTTGTCAATGCTCTAAATCAGACGCTGCATATTTCGTTATTTTCATCTACTAAATACGATTTGCGACAGCATGTTTCATGGCAGGTATTGCATAACCCTTCTGAGTCTGTCGCTGCATTAACAGAATATCCTACATTATATTCGTTTACCGCGTAAAATTTGCGAATTAAAAACATTTTAACTTCTTTAAAGTGTTACTATTATTTTGTTTCGATCGGAAGTTAAAAGATCACAGAAATTAGATTTTCGCTGCTCTCGAGTATTCTCTAATCTTTCTTAAATTAGTAAAATAAATCCTTAACTATTCAATGAGCTAACTATGAAGACGTCCAAAGCTTATAGCTTATTAGAGTGAAATTTTTGCTTCTAAAATAATTCTTCAGTAAAACCGAATGAATAAAAAATCTTTGTTTTTTGTTACATTTTAATTCTGAAAGAACATGAAACCTGTCAATTTCTGTCTTAAATAAATATTTTCAAACTCAGATTTTCTTTCAATGTTATTAATGGAGATTTTCTTTTTTTAATATTTACGTTGCTTTTATTTTAAGTTTATTAATAAACCGTTTTCGTAAATTTAATATTTTTAATTTCGGATATCAAAATAATAATAATAATAATAAAATAATAATAATAATAATGAATTTATGAAAAACATCAAAGATAAGAAGGATATTTACAGATACATTGAATGTGGTTAGAAATACAAACGTATTTAAGCTAAGCATAATAAATTGGAGCAGATATTGAATAAACCGATTTTGAAGGCGATTAATCATAGATCCTTCTTCTTAAGTAGCAAAAAAAAAAAAAAAAAAAAATACATACATACAAAGATGCAAGGGAAAACCATTGATATCATATAAAATGAAATCCTACAATTTCCATGTAAGATGGTGGGCTGTCTGCTCTGATCTGTGTGGAAGATTTTATCTCAGCATCCATATCAGTTTTAGCCTTTATTCCCGAATGTTAAGTTTCACACTCATTAGCGTTGTTTTCTTAAAGTTAAAAGCAAAAACGCAGTCTGATATAGAAATGCAATTTACCTGTATAGAATGCTTTCTTTTCATTGTCTCGGTGTCCATTATTATTTGAATGTTTCGGTGGCATTGGTGGTAATGGTCTTTGAGCTAGGCCTGTAGAAAATCGATCAACATATTTAATTTGAAACCAAATTAATACAACAGATTATGTCCTGCTTATTTGAGAGGTTATGGATTACAGCACTGCCGAAAGCAAAAATCTTTAAAATTCAAATCTATTCTGTTTTAACAGACAAATAAACTTTAATAGCAAAAAAATGTACATAATATTGCGTTCATTACTTAATAATGGGTGTAAAATCTAAAAACACGTATTATTTATGAAATATCATGATAAAAAGCAAACTTTATGTTAAGTATATGCAACAGTTCTACACACTTTTTAGTGGAGAAAGAAAGGCAGGAAAAGCAAAATACAAAGTAGCTATGATTTCACGTAATCGTTAGAATCATGTATCTATCTATATGGTAGTAGTATACCCCATACTGATAAAACAATTCTATTTTACTGTCAAAAAAAGGCCTGCAATGCTGTTTTTTTCGTCCTCCAAATTATCGAAGATTTAGAAAGCGAAAAAAATCTCTAAAAAGTCTAAAAAGGAATGAACTGGGAAGGCGAAATAATTTTGCTAACTGATTACAGCAGCATGAGATCTGGTCTTATGAAGGTGCTAGACGACGTTCTTGCATTTGACGAGTAATAGTTGCTTATATGTCAGGTTTCCTTATAGTTGGTTCAACTGTTAACAACTGGCTTGGTTGTTCAACTGGCTTTGCACTTATCATGTGGTTATACTACAGTAAATTAGTCTCTTGATATCCCACCAAACCTGTAATAAAATCTTTTGTGGCTGTATTCCTCATTTCAAATTCATACAACTGTTCTGCAACTCATCATATAGCCTGAATACCTAACAGTGCAATTGAAATTAGAGTACAGTACTCATTTTTGATATCATATTACAATCCTTTCCAAAGCGAGTTTGCTTCTGTAACGAAAAAGCAAAGAAGCCCAGGCATCAACTTCCTCCTGCTGCTGCCTCGCGGAAAGCTCACGTGGAACTTACTCATCAGATTTCGTCTGCATTCATCTTTCAGTTATTCTGTGTAACGACGATGTTTCCATTTGTTCGTGAATAGCTGAATTTTTCATGGATTTTTCCGGCACATCTGCAGAAGCTCTTCATGTGCTCACAGAATGCAAATGATTTGTACACAGGCTATTTTCATTCAAGATTTTCTGAAACTGTCAGCAATATATGTTCAAGAATAACCTCTCTCTACATTTAATAGTACTATGACAGACTGCGCCTGAAGTTATTGCCTTTACAAATTGGTGCAATAGCAATGCCAGACGCGCTCTTAATCATTCTCTATTTCTAACCGTAATTCATAAATATATCAGACAAATTCAGTGCTTTATATGTTCTATTGTATTCTATTCTATTGTTCTTTGACAAGCAAAAGAGTTTAGTCATTTAATTCATTGGTGGCGCGATTTATTACAAATTGCAGTACTCTTCTGTTATCGAAGCCGGATTCAGAAATGGATGTATGTATGCATGCATGTATGGATGTATATGCTCATGTATATATGCAAGTACGTATGTCTGTCTGTGTGTACACACATATACCTACATACATTTATTTTTGAATCCGGTCCCGATAACAGAAGAGCACCCAATTTGCTTCTACAAAATGGGCAGAATTTTCACATATATCCAATGTTTTGAAACCTCTGGATCTTAGTTTAATTACCTCAGAAAGGATTGCAATATTGGATGTGTAAAAATGGTACATCTGCTGCCAATTTCATTACTGTGAAACAAAATTAAAATTCACAAGAGAAATTTTAGTTTTGAAAAGTGTGACATTTGATTCAGCTTTCCTTCTTTTTAACTTAAAACGATATCAGTTTTAATAAAAAGATACAAAAATTGATTTTTTTCAGTCGTATTCGTATAAAAGTATAAAGGGAAGTGCCTTACATAGCCATCAAAAGTCAAAATTTTAATTGAATAAACTGTAATCAAAAGAAAAAGATCTCGAGAGCTACAAACATACATCCTTCAGAAAAACATCCTTCTTATTTTAAACATTTTGGAAAGATCATGTGCAAACATTGCTAAAGATATTTAATATAGCGTTGTAGAATTACATCACAGACATTGTCGATTTAACATTTACTAATTTGATATTAACATTTGGAGAAACGCTGAAATTCGAAATTTTGTAGTTGTAGAAATTTAGGCTTATATACGAACCCTTAGAACGTTCTTTTAATCGGTTAGAACCAGTTTTGAGCATTAAAATATTTTTTAGATGGATAAAGAGTTGTTGGTTAGAACTTTCTGCTCAGAATATGTTTGAAAATTTAAATTTCGTTTATGTTTACCAAACTGCATCAAGTGACCTAAATTACCATTGCTTGAAAGCGTCCTTTGATTGATTCAGTTCTTAACTTGGAATTATGTCTCTGCATTAAATTATTCAAAAAGTAATTAACCGTGCAATCCTTCTAACACACTTTATATAGTTTTTGTTGATTTTTAGTGACAACGTAATACTTCTTTCAATTCTAATTATTACTTTCATATATATTACTATATCTCGCATAAAACTTTATATGGAATCTATACGATTCTATAAAATACCCAATAAAATTATAATCTAAAACACACCAAATAAATAAAATCAATACATTTCTCTGCAAAAATACATATAAAGAAAAATACCATAAAATTTTTAAAAAATATTTAGATAAGTTTACAACGATATTTACCTTTCTTACAACACAAGATTTCTTTCTTTAAAACTTCTTCACCGAGTACACATTTTCTAGAAGTTAGCTGTTGCAGATCCTCATTCCTTTCAGATTCTGGTGTGGTTGGTCTGTTTTTGAGAGACTGATTAAAATAATTCCTAGGAGGTAGAGGAGGAGGATTGCTGTTTGTATAACAAGGAGCGTAACCTTTGTTTGTTGTTGTGGGGTAAACAAATACCCATCCAGTTTTGACAGGCTCAGTAGGAAATTCCTGATAAGAAAAAAACAGCAATAAATTAACAATATTGAAAACAAAAAGTAATAATGAAGGTTAAGAAAAATAAGAAAATATCCATAAAGTTGAGGCAACTGAAAAAAAAAAAAAAAAAAAAAAAAAAAATAGAATAACGAGAAATTGTGGTTATCACAATATCTGTAATTATCTTTTAATGCGCGAATTACTATCGGAATGCATTTTAAGATGACAGTCCTATTCCTTCCAAATAAAGCACACAAGTCAAACTCGTTAAATTTCAACTTACATAATTTCACATCACTTATTCATAATTACTATCTTTAAACAGGTTATTAAATATAAATCCGTAGCATTATTTTTACTTCCTTTTATGATTTATTCAAATTATATTCTACTATTATGTATATATTCATCGCGAAAGTACTGATGTTCCAAACCTACAATTATTGGACGCAGCATTAGACTTATCTATCTTTCTTACAAAGTTGCTAAGACTTAAATGGGGAAAACACTATTTGGCATTGATTGCATTGATTGTTTTATGTAATTTTTAGTTAGTTTTAATTCGTGAGAAATTACTGCTGAGGGTATGAGCACTAAGTCATAATTAATAGTAACTTCAGTGATGTTGTAATGCCAATAGTCGTGATAAAAAAGATTTACAACATGCAATATTCTTTAAAATGCAATTCATATTTATCTAGAAATAGTTTCCTAACTAATTCAAGAGGCAATGATCTCATGTAACATGCTATTTGAAGAGTGAGCTTGGAAACATTTTTTTAAAAAACTGGGAGAAGAGTTCGAATTGCCTTTGAGATCTGAGCAATAAACTTCGGAGATATAAAATCATTGCAAAAATAATACTTTAGCTGATGGTGTTTTATTTTTAGTAAAATACTGAAAACATTATCCAAAAGTTTAGATTTGTGGAGTTTCAGACTAATTCCTGAATAGACGAAGGATCAACAAACGAATTTAAGCGATCCAGCACAGCTTATAGCAGAGAAAACAAATATTCGTTGCCTGTCATGGTATTCCGAAGAGGAAATACATCAAAGGTAGCTCTGGATTCATCAACCGATGTTTCAGAAAATGCAAGAAATATAATCTACAACGTTCACATAATGCGAAAAAAATTTTACAAATAGCACGTAGGTTTCAGGTTTTCAGTAATCAACATCTAATCTGATATTTCTATTGCAAATAATAAAAAACATTTTTTTTTATTGGTAATCCTACTGGTTGACTTTAGAGAAGAAACCATTCCCCGTAAATGTGTTTTCACATGGTTCCAAATGATAAAATAAAACTTTATCTTTAGTATTTCTTATGAAATTTTACAATCATGAGCTTAATAATTATAATACCATAATAATGTATTTTATACTAAAAGGGTTAACAATTTGCACATCGCAAAAAAAGAATCAGCTTCATTTTTCGAGTGGCAAGTATTAACTCCCGATATTTTTTAGTATTTAAGTATTTTAAGTATTTTTATTTAAGTATTTTCATTTAAGTACTTTTTAGTATTTTTATATTTTTAAGTACGGATTGAGAGTGAATATTATATCTGTGTGGGCCATACTTTCATTACCTGCATATAGGAATACTGTAATAATTCTCAGATTCCATATTAAATATAACTAAATAATTAAATTAAATATAACAAAACTACCTTGCAGCACATTGTGTAGTCATCCTACATAAACTGACACTTCAACCCCTCTCTAATATTTGAGACACCTTGTAAGTTCTAAGCAAAGTCGGAAAAATTAGTTGATAGGAATATGCAGAAAGAGACCATCTGTTTGACAGACCCATATCCTTTTACTCCTCTGTCACTATCAATAGCAGAAATTTATATATTTAACACTTTCATGTTCTGCATGCTCACAACAATCGACAGCATTCAAGGTTTTCCCGGGATAAGAACCGGAACCCATCGGTGAGGAATTTCGTTTCCGCTAACTATCTCACCAATCGAATATAGGTTCCTGTAGCAGGACATGTGTGTCTGGAATAAAAATACTTGACACTAGATTCCCTTTCATAGGAATAACTTGCGTCTTTGCAATGCGCGCGTTAAAATTACAACTAATCTAATACAGCATTTATATGTTCTAAAACGCACGTAAAAACTTCACTGAGACGAGCGTAGAATATTCTTTTATTAAAATATGCCAGACATGAAGTTAAAATATGCCACACATGAAGTTAAAATATGCCACTGATGAGTGCTGTTAAAATATCCCATTCATGAGTGCTTCATGAAGAAATACTGAAAAAGGTCATTAAACATAAATAACAATTATTTCAACATCTGTTTCAAAAGTATCGAAACCAAAAATCACATAAAGATACTTGTTCTCTCTTAACTCTTTATAATACATATTTCCCTCATGGGAGTCTCTCCATAATTTAAACATTGTGAGAAATTATGTGATATAAAATGTACATTCTTCCTTACTGAAAAGCATAAACAAATACATTTAACATTTATAAGGTATTTCCCCCGCTTTCCTAGCGTGCCTTCGTGGTGTAGCGGTTTAGCACGCTGAGCCGGTATTCCAGAGGTCCACGGTTCGATTCCCAGTCTCAAATTCGATGTCTCAAATATTAGAGAGGGGTTAAGTGTCAGTTTATGTAGGATAATTGTTAATTTTTCATCTTTCCTGCTTCTAAAAAATACCTAATATCCCTACAGTGGCGCCCAAACTAAAAGGGTGTTGCATGATGATTCTCCTCAACCAGGATTTGGCGATTGGGTGCCCTAAAAACCCCAGTTACCCTTTTAAAGTGGGAGTATATAAGGTATTTTTTCCACCTTCCTAGCGTGTCTTCGTGGTGTAGTGGTTCTGCACGCTGGGCGGGTATTCCAGACGTCCGCGGTTCGATTCCTTGCGAAGGTTTTGTTAATTTTCCATCTTTCCTGCTTCCAAAAAATACCTAATGTCTTTACACATTCATTATAAGTAAGACATACTAGTGGACAAGTGGTAAAATTGCTGAACACTGATAGTTCAGACCTTGATTTGATTCCAGGTGAAAGGGTTGACTGCATGGGCGTTTTCGTAGTTTTCGCATGTGTAACGTGTATACGAGCCATTTTCCTTTATAAAGTCCCCCACGAAGGCATTCTTTCCCTTAGGCAGATATCCCTAGTGTGTTTTGTCATAATAAACTAAACCAAACCAAACCATTTATATTGCCACAGTAAGGAGATCGAAATGCTTTTGGATAAGGAATGGAAGCAGTGTACTATGGCATAGGAACACTTTAAATCTATCGAACCTGAAGTCCTCAAAAGAGTTTGCTGATAGCGGAAGAAGAATATGACATAAAAGAATATATTCCCCCGATAAGGTTTCGTTAAAACTGGAATGGAAATTAAGGGGATGGTCCTCATGTGTTTTGTTAAAATTAAATAATTCAGTCCAATCCAAAAAGAACTTACTTTCTACATCTAGATATGTCTGCAACTTTTGATAATTTGTCATTTATAAACACACCAGGTTTATAGTATAATACAAAATAATAAAAGTTTAAAATAATGCTAATCATTTCTTTTGCGTAAGAATAAATGCAGTAAATATAATAGCGTCATCATTTAGCTATCAAAGATTCAGACATGTCTAAAGTATCATGAATCGAACCAATGCCAAAATATTTTAAAATTTCGATTCTACGTAAAAAAATATTCTGTTCACTAGGGCTCTGTCGAATGCATACATATATTAAAAACAAATATGCGCGCCTAAATATGTGTCTAACTATGCGTCTCAAATATGTGTGTCTAAAGTGTTTTATTTTATACACAACATTCTTTGTACAGTGCAAAATAAGCTCATATTGAGAATGGGGTATGCTTGGCAATCCTTGTTCAAAATCATTTGTTTCAATGCAAAATTTGCAAAAAGATAGATTATAAAATAAAATAAAATAAAATAAAAATGTGGACTTACTAGCGTCTTATTATCCCCTTCTGTGCATGAACTGCTAGTGCAACTGTTTTTTGAGCTAGTACCTGAAAATATAATAGTTATGAATAGTAAAGCTATAGAAGTCAATAAAAGAACAGAAATTGTTTTTTAATGTAAAGTGACTAATTGGAAAGAACAGATGTCTAGCGGGAAAAATGTAAAACGTTTAATAAAAATTCCAGATCCTAAGTTAAATCATAATTATTAAATTATGAAAAATCTATATGTATATGCATGTTCCTCTCAAAATAGAAAAACGGCGACGTATATAGTCACCAGCTTTTGAAAACGCAAAATCCTCAATCCAAAGATATACACTTAAAAGATCGAATTTTGAATTCTGATTTTTTTTAAATTTATTTATTTTATGTCTTTAGCGAATTCAATGAAATTTTGATTAATAAATTCATCGATTTAAGTGCTATGTGTTATCATTCGTAAAGCGTAATATTTTTGTGTTTTAAATTTTATCAACAAACCGAACTATTTAAAAGGAATGTGTCTTAAACGCCTGAAAGAAAATATTTTTATCATCCACGCTTCAGTGTGTGGTCATTCGTCAAAACATAAGATATTTTTTTTTTCAATTTTAACTTCTTTTATTATTAATTAACAAACTAAGCGATTTAAGCAGTTTGTCATCTCTGTTATTATTAATAACTAGCTGGACGAAAAGTGAAATGATTATATATATAGTAATACAATCATTATGTAATATTTCTTTTTTATTATTACTATTTTAAGTAACTGCCTGCAGCGGTTAGTGTTTAAAATAGTAGTCTTTAAATGAAGACGATTGGGTCCCCTAATCCCCAGTCGCCGTTTAAAAAGGGAAGTTTCATGGTGTAACAATCAGCACACTCGGTACGTATTCGAGAGATTCGAGGTTCGAGACCCGGCGAGGGCATTGCTCATTTTCATGTCTTCTGCTTCGAAATATCCTAATGTATCTACGACTTAAAAATTAAAAAGAGGTACATCACTGTAATGAATTTCATCATGATTTTAAAAAGTGTGTTTTTGAAGTGACATCGACTGAGGAATCAGAGCAATATAAACTTACTTGAAGCACTTGCATCTGAAATCTTCTTGATAGGTGTTTGGCTTTCTTTCTTAGTGCTTTCTTTGTTTCCCTCTAATGGGTGGCTCTAGTAGAAGAAACGAAAGTCAGCTTGTAAGTTTTATCTTAAATAAAGCATTATAAATTTTCTTATATAAATCTTTCCTTCACTTCTGCATTCCACCACCAGAAATGCGAATCAGCTGACTTTTTATAGGGAACGAGAATCCAAATTAAGTGCGAGAGTGCTGACATTTTCAAATAAAAGTGCTGTGATTCTGCCTTCCATAATGCTGTACTGATTATTGGTGAGTTTTGGGTTTTAAATGTTAGAACATGTTAGAACAATGTAGTAACAATGAAGTTAACTTTAGAACGAATGTTAGTAAAGGAGCCAGACCTCTAACGTAATATTTGTTAATATAGTTGGAATATTGTTACATCAGCAACAAGTGGGTGTTAAGTTCTGCTATTATTTTAATATTGTAACTTCAAACCGAAGTACTAATAAATGTTTAAACAAATTTTTATGAACTGTTCCTGTCATTTTGTGTTATGGACTCTAGGTTAAAGATGCGGTAAGAATCTGTCTAGAAGACTCAGAATGATACCCGGTGTTTAGATTAAGTATAATTAGAGTAAAACTTACAATCTTAATAACTGAGTAATAACAATTTTAAATATCCTTTTCTCCGCTGGATAATACGATTCACTAAGGCTTGCATTATTGAATTAAAAATTAGATTTCGTTTATTTATTTTTTTTTTTTTAGTTTTTATCATCCTGCATTACATTTAAAGTGCAGTAATACATCACCATATATTCGTATACAGTATGCTTATGCTTATGTTCTTATAAGATACTTATTTGCGTATACAATATACCCAGTAAAATTGTTATACATCCGTTATTTTGAGAATTCTACGACGTCTCTAAGATTGAATTGATTAAAATTTTTGGTTTCAGCCGTTTATGGTCATTAGCGGAGGTTAACAGTAAGTCTGAGCTCATGGGTGTGATCGACTTCTACTCAAGGCATAATTATTGTATTGTCCCCCACCTTCCTTCTGGGTGTAATATCGGTCATTTTGTGTACTTTAGGGTGAAACGACTTAATGATCAGAAGATCAGAAGATCGGTTTTTTCTGATCATACATAATAAGTTAAGTTTTTTAGAGTAGGGGGAAAATTATCTTAAAAGGTAAAGCTAAGCTATTAAAATAGGGTTATTCACAAAAGGGCTATCTACCTAGGGGAGGGAAGCCTTTATGGACGACCTTCCAAAGAAAATTGGCTTACTTATGAGGAAAACCACAAAACCAGCCAGCCTGCTTGCCTTCGCCTGGGCTGGAACCCAGGCCGAACTACCAGTATTCAGCGGTCTGAACCTCCCCACCACTAATGGGACATTTATATTGAAAATAAAGAAATATAGGACAAATTTTTCAAAGTTTTATAAAATTCCCTACTTAAAATTTAAAGATGTGAGGTTTGCTCATATACAGTGGGTATATAGATGAAGATAGAAGTGCGGTAGGAAAAAAAAAGAGGGCGATTATGCAGACATCTTGTTTCAATTTGAAATAACTGATGAAACTGATAAGAGCGTAAGAAATAAGCACGAAAAATTATAATTTTTGTTTAAAAAGCTAATTTTAATTTATTTAGAGTAATTCTGTTTGCAGCAAACAATAAAAGTTACATAAAAATTATAAACAGATATAAATTATCTCATAGACACAATACAGTGAACCTTCTGCAAGACAATTTTATATTCGTTTTGATCTCTTCTGGAGATGGCTATCTCACAGATACTAATGCTTAATTTTGTTCCCCGAAATGCTAATTATTTTAAGAAGTCATCTTACGGACATTGCCATCACGAGACGATTCACTGTATTTTGAAAAGATATAAAATACCTGAACGAAATGTAGTATATTGCAATTTCACTTTTCTGTTATCATGAACACAGTGAAAAAAACAATCAATGAGCATTCTGAGATAGTTTCACAGTTCGGTGACGATGTCGTAGTCACACATACCTAGAATCGAGCATCATCGTCGACATCAGCGAAGCATGCTGAATTATCAAAATTAAATATTTTTTGAAGTTTCATTCAGAAAACTTTAATATTAAAAGAAAACATTTTGAAAATCATCTAATGTTAATTAGCTCATTTAAATGATTACAGTGTACGTTTTATGTTGTACAAGTCCTCCTACTTAAATGGTGTAGTTCCTTACAAATCACAAGTTTTTCCATCTAAAACAGAACTCTCTAAGCCAACGCAACTGAAAAAAATCCTCGCTTATCTTCATCTGTTTTAAGACAAAGATATTCCAAATTCGCCAATTCAGTTACATTCGCCTATTCAATTAAGTTACAGGAGCTACAAAACTTTTGAATCGATAGTGCATATTCAGTTAACTCTTCAAGCTAGAAGATGCGAAAGTGAGAAACATGCACTTTTTAAACGAAATATATCGCTTGGAATAGTACTTTTGTGTTTATCGAGACAATAAAATGAATTTATAAATCTAGATTACATTACTTAAATACCTCAAAGCACACTAGGGCTATCTGCATTAGGAAAGGAAAGTAGTTTTGAAAAACATTCTAAGAGCAACTCACTCTTACTCACGTTAAAACCACTTAAATCTGCCATGCAGACACCCCTTTCGCCCGTTTAACCTGGATCGAACTCTCAGTATTCACAGTTTTATCCAGTTGGCAACTGCGAATTTATAAAATATGTTATTTTATATATTAAGGACTGAAAAGTATTGATTGCGGAAAAATATGCCAGAGGGTCTATAGAATAGCAGATAAATAATATCATATTACTTAATTTGTATGCTTTCTCTAAATGCTGATTTATACAATTTACAGGTAATAAATAACCGAATACACGTGCAGTGTCTAATTTGAGGGGAAGAATATGAGGAAACAACAATGATTTTTATAATCTTCGCACTAGTAATTTTGTGAAGAAAAAATTACCACATAGAGTTATTACTCAAGTGCAAGAAAAAGGTTAGAGGTCTAAACAATCTTGCTCTATACCGGGTAATCCATGAGTAGTGCCGTTATGGGGAAATCAAAGATTTAGACGTGATAAGATATTATTCGTAAAAATTTCAAAGTAACTGTCATATCCAATGCAATAGATGGAATTCGGGTGATTTATTGTGGGCAAAGAACATTCTCAGTGACGTTGGCGAAAATGAGCAGTGAACATATTATCGTTTATTATCAAAATACATATTATCGTTTGTTCGAATCCATATCCATCCTTCAGAGCATGTGTGATCAGAAAACAAGAACTGTTTTTGCACGTACGGTAAATAGAGTATGGGTGTAACTCTGCTTATATAAATATTTTTTAAAAGTATGTTCACCCTTACTGACGGCAAGAATATCTTTGAATATAATCGATTTACATATAAGTGCAAATTTAAAATTCAACAAACTTTATTTGCCGACTCTTGGTGGCTCGGTTACAGAGGAAACTTACAAACTAAAAGCTTGATTGAGTATCGAGAATAACTTAAAATACTTTAGGTGACTTTCCTTTAAATTTACAATTATAAAAAGTAGTACCTCTAAAAAAGGCACGTTATTCTCAGCTAAAATGTATAAGAAAGTATTTAATAATTTCGAGTAACAGCGGGAGCTTCAGCCAATACTAACTCTTTTCAAACGGATGTCTTAAGAAAAGCAAGGCAGTTTCGTACTTCACAAGGCATAAAACTCTAGGTACTTCTGCTTGTCTTACATTGTTCAGATGCTGTATCCTATAAGAGTTATTATATGCTTTCCGTAGTGGAGTTCCGTAGTAGGATAAGTGCAAACTATCGTATTTAGAAACTGAATGACCAGTGTATTATCCGCATCTGAAAATTTGGTTCGAAATCTTAAATAAAAATTACAGATGCTACATGAACGTATACGATACGTAATAGCCGTATATTTAAAGTATTATATTCATAATGCATTTTTATTTATTACCGTTATATAAGAGCCTCAGTCTAATAGAAATTTTATGAATAAGAAGAATGGTTAAACATGACAAGGTTTAAGATATCTTTAAAACATCTGGAAAATATTTCCGATATATTTGACGATTTCAACAAAACATACTTCGCAGAATACTAGTCCTTTCTGAAAACTAGTTTACAGATAGTACATATAAAAAATCCTGATAAAACCAACAATGAAATTTTTCTTATAAGAAACTAATTTGCTACTTACTTTTGACTCTTTTCTCTTCGGCTTTCGTGGAATAAAATTTTTCCATTTAGAAGAGCTAGCTACTGCTATTTTCTGGGCTTCTTCATAAGCCAGCCTTACTGATTGAAGTTCACTTTCTCGCTTTTCTCCATGTGAACGGTATCTCTCGTACCAGGACTTGAATTGTTCCTCCACATCCGAAATGGTCCTGAAGCCATGTTTGAAAGCGTACAGGTATTCTAGTAATTCCTTTTGACTTTGACTCATGCCAGTTTTCAGGCATTCCAGTTTCTCATCTTCATTTTCCTCAGCTACAAATAAAATACAAAAAATTAAATCAGCAAACTTTTATCTAACACAAAAGACTCCTAATGAGAGATCAGGACTTCTTTTCAAATTCCTTTCCGAAAGATTTATTACATAAACTTCAGTTTGAAATGCATTATTTAATATATTAGAAGTAAAGTGTCCTGTATTAAGCGTAAGTTCAAATTAAGAACAAATTTATTAAACTGAGAGTAAGAAAATTAAGCACTTCAGAATCAAAATGCTTATTTTTAGAAGTGATTTCTCGCGTAAATTGTTTAAGAAACATATTTGCGACTTTTCTTAGGCAAATAAGAAATCAATGAAATTTTCTGAAGTATTTTTAAGATTCCATTACAACTTGGATATTTCCTAATTGCCCATATATATATATATGAACGATTTCAATACCATTAAAATTTCTGAGTTTATATTTGTATATTATTTAAGTTTAAAAAATGAAACAATTTAATTTGTTGAAAGAAGAATTAATAAGAATGATTGAGAAGTGCAAAACTCAGCAGTATTGCTTTATAAAATCTAACCAGGTTGTTGGGAAGACAGTAGTTCAAAATATTCATTACGTATGCAGTTAAAATGCATTGTCAATTAAGAAATCCCAAATCTCGTTCTTTAGAAAATTAGGCAAATCCGGAATTTTTTCGTGCAGGCGATTTAAAAAAACAGAAGTTCAGTCAAAATTTGACCGTCGGTTGACATCGGTAATATTATTTTTACAGAACTCATTAAGGTCTTAAATGTAAAGGAATAGAAAGTTATCACTCTGTGGCAAAAGGAGTATAAGTGAGAAGAGAAAAAAGGGTTAGGCTCTTCCCAACGTTCGGAGCTCAATGACGACATTTCATTTACAGAAGTGGGAGAAACATAGACACAATTACATTTAATTCCCCAAGTCAGGCTCTGAATCACTGATGTCACACGCTCAAAGATTTCTGGACGGGAAGAATAAATCTTGCAGCATAATAATCTTGGATGGAACTACTCATAATCATCATCACGCAATGGGTAATCGGTAAGCTAAAGCTTGCATCTGTTCTGCTATTTAAATTTATACGGAGGAGGGCATATGTACTGAAAATACTCTATCCTGGCCTAAACCACATTTCTTAAGCCCTTGAAGAGAGAAAATTGGCAGGCTGACATTTATGGCAACGGAAATAAAGAGGAATGTAGTTGCCTTTAACACTCGGTGGTTTTTAAATACTACTATGCAGAGGCATTTTGCGGCATTTTCAACGACATTCAACCAACACGATTAAAAATAATAATCTATAACTTGACGGACAATAGGAAGGTTAGGAATTAATCAAACTGTATAACCATTGCAGAAAACTGAAATTTCTTATCATCTATCATATTTTAGAATTAGTTCTAAAAATGCATGAATGATAAAGAGAAAACCACAATACAATTATAGAACATACCCCCCCACACACACACAAAAAAAAAAAAGACTGACCATTATTTGTTACTGATTTGCTCATTTTAATCGTTAGCAAAATGTCACGAAACTGCTAAGGCCACTGTAAGCAAGAACAGGGTGGTTTGCATTGGCATAAACCAATCGCGGTCATTTATTTGAAGTCGTGCCGCCCGAATAGGGACTACTAGGGCTGATAAGTAATCAAATATTTAAGACAATGAGGTATTTGGGAACTCTTGTTGATTATTTGGATAAGGCATAAGTATTGCTTTTCTTGTAAAACTTTTTAGAAACGGTTCAATATTTTCAGGAAAAAATTTTATTTTTATTCATTGAAAGCTGGATTAAATGTGGGAATAAGGAAAGATTATTCAAATGTCAATTAAAAAAATTAAGACTTATCCTATTTATCACATATGACCCGAGAAAAGAACATGCAGTAACGTTTGCCTTGAATACGAAAGAACTCTATCTGCTATGCAGAAATTTTAGTTAAATTAATTATAGTTATTGGCATTGTATTGATCTCTTCTTAATCCTCAATGCTTCATTAGGACATTAATGTTGAAGAAGAATTTTTTTTTTTAATTTTTGTGGTAGCAGTCAGACATTATTAAAATTTTAATATTACGGCAGATTATCCCATTCAAAGAAAACACAGCTGGTTAGATGTGTTAATAGATTCAAGTATGTTAAGTAAAATATGTATGGTAAATGCTTGGAATATGATAAAATAAAGCGGCGTTAACAGTTTCTAGGTATGCTACTGAGTTGCAGCTTGCTGTTTAATAGGAATGAATAAGGATACCTGAAGAAATCTTGGATAATCTAAATCTATGTTCCGTAAATCAACTATAGTTGCAAAGATTACAAGCATAATATGTATAAAGATATGTTTCGTTGCTTTGCTTTCTAAGATCGTAAATCTTTAACTAGATGGCTGTAAAACTGAAAATTACTCATAAATATTATAATTTACTGTATGCAATAAATTATATTTATGTACAATTTTATATGATTTTAAGCCTTTTCCTCATCCCCCCCCCTGGATTTCATTTCATAGTTTTGTTCTTACCATTTTCTTAAAGAAAGTTCATCTGTCATTATATCCTTCTTTTGTTACGTACATTATTACTTCCACATTTTATTTAGCAGTGTAACATGCTAGAACATAATTTAACTCATGTGTATTAAACGTTTATGCAGTTATAATAGTCACTTCTAATTAGGCACAAAAGTTACTAATTAGCTAAAGTCTGATTTTTTTTAAATTTTAGTTTAATCTTTAATTTAATGCATAAAATCAAACACAGATCAGTGTAGTGTTACAACTTCTGCAAACCAAAGTACAGTTTTTTTTAATTTAGAAGTCAAACAACAAAAATTAGCGTTATATTTTCATATTTTCACAGGAATAATTTCGATGGTTTTACCGAACCATCATCCTCAGCTGCAAAAGCGCAAATAAAAATATTAAGTGAACTTGTCCGGCGTATCTTAAAGTACGCTGTATTAGAAAAATTTAAGAAAGGGCACAATATTTGCAAAATTTAAACTTAATTATTTTTGTTCCATCTATAAAACGAAAATTTATTCAAAATATTAGTGATAATTTTCAGACTAAGAAATGCGGTGGCTTGTAGAGACATTAGGTTATTTTGAGGCCGGAGAGATGAAAAATTAGCAATGCTTTCGCCGGGAAACGAACCACGGACCTCTGGAATACCGGCCCAGAGTGCAGAACCACTACACCACGAAGGCAGGCTAGGAAAGCTGGAGATATATATATACCTTATAAGTTAAATAAACATATTAAACAAGTCACCCCTTTCGTTTCGTATAAACCAAAAGAACTATGCGATATCGCATGCTAATAGATGACTTATTCTGAAAATAAAATTTTAATTTCCCCAAATTTTGAAAAGTTTCAAGAACATTAAAAAAAAAAAAAAAAAAAAAAAAAAAAAAAAAAACCGGTTTTTAAGTTGGCAGTTTTACAGTTTGGTTGAATTTTCGCAATAAAATCTGTCTATTGGTTTATATTTGGAAATATATGGTATGCTTTTTTTTTAAAGAAATCACAAATTGTTAGCAATAATTAACCATATACTTACGAAAAATCATTGATACATAAATGCCGCTAGCTAAGGAATCATTAAGAAATTCTGCTCCTGTGTATGACGGCAGCCGATTATCGATATTTTCTTTGATAAATAACTGATGAGGCTTTAGTCTTGAAAAATCATCACCTGAAAAAGTTTCACTGCCAGTAGTAATTATTCTTTATTTCTCAGAAACTTTATTAAATTGACTCTAATCAATAAAATCATAATACAGGATTATTGGGAGTAACTGACTCGATTACAGATAGCTTTAGAGAAAATTCTCGCTCAACGCGAATTAGCACGTGAACAATATGTCCGACTTAGAAAAGTAATAATATTTCCCGCTTTTCAAAATTACTTAACGAATTAAAACGTGTTTTGATGATACCCAAAACTTTTTATTGCCGATAAAGTACTACACTCATAAAAGTATTAAATAACTCAATTTTAGATGAGTCATCGAATCATAAAATTAGGCAAACTAACAATCTTCTGGCTTTAAAGACTTAAAAAAAATATGCATTTTCTGCGGTGATAACTTATATTATAGAGATGTCACGAAGTTCCAGTTTCGTATTAAAGTCTTACACATCAAAATTTAAGAATAATTTGCAGGCGGCTAGGAACTTCGAAACAGCTGATCTGGATTTAACTTCCTGGCAAAGTAAAGTAGATTAGAATGAAAATATAAAACTTTGGCTGTGAAGGAAAATATTAGACAGAAATCAGCTCGTTCATTTTCGTTAATCACGAAAGGGCTCTTTGTCAAAGAAATAATACTTTCGTGAAGCGTGAAAAACCTTTTTAAGAGAATGGTTCATATTGTCATAATACATAAGAAAACATGAAAACTTTGAAATCAAACTGTTTGCCGCAATCAGAGCCTGAAATGAAAAATTAGGTAAAAGAAAAGAAATTTTTTTGTGGGTGACAGTTGTAACAAAGTGCGAAATTTAAGGCTTTTCTTGTAATATTTAATTAAGCTTTCGTAGCTTCCTGGAACATATTATAAAGAATATTTAAAGGTTAAGCCAAAACAATTGCGAATTTTGGGTTACGCAGCTTTACCTGATTTCAAAATTCCTGACATATCCATGTAATGTCCGTGACTGGTTCGAAAATCTGTTAAAGCGTTCAGGGTTGAAGGCAAAGATTGAGATCTCCTCATATGATATACTATGGAGTCATCTATAAAAATGAAAAATATGATCTAGAAAATACAGTTTTGTCTACTTTATTGAAAATTAATGAAAGAGAACTACTTTATTCTTGGAAAACAAAGTAAAAGCTATCTTAGTTATATTTTTACCATAAACTTGTTAGAAAATGACACATAGTTTTTAAAAATAATTTATAAAGAATAAACTACAGCGAATCCAATCATGGAGGTTCTTGCCATCTTATGTTTCTTTCCTTTGCTCATTCAGTATCCAATCATATATGAAATAAGTTGCTGAGGGTGACAAAAAGCATTTCCTAGCTTTCCGTTACAATTTTCTAAAAATCTTGCTATGTGTCACTATGTAATCATTCCCTAACAAAAATATATCATGTTTGGTGTTAGAAATGTTTTTCATTCATTATATTACTGATACGTTTGTAGGGTACCTTAGCACAATAATTACAAACCTCTAGGAGGGGTTGGGGGCACTCAGATGACTCTGAAACGCATAGAAATGCTTTCCTGATGCAGTAAGATGGCGTTGGTTCGTAATCCCGTAGTAGCTTGTAACCCTGACACTGTGACATTTGCATATGACATTGTAAATAATGCTCTTGATATTTATAAGTCATTTGGAACGTATATGATTTTGAAGCGGCCCATTGTTCAAATTAATATGCAATAAAATATTGTAAATTAAAAGATAAAGATTTTACAAGATCTGAATGCAACCGAGTGAGTATATTTTATACAAAAAAGTTACTTTTCTTACATTTTCTGCTGAGTAGCTAGCATCACATATTAAGCTTGTCAAGTAGCACCTTTTGAGACACCTAATACATAAATCCTTCAGTTCTGAAGATTTTTTATTTATTAAGTATCTCAAAAGGTGCTGTGCATTGAATGTAGTTACAGTAGTATTAATATAAAACATATTCTCACAATGTTAAAATCTCACTGAACTCTCGCTATCCGTCATTTGGACGTTTTCTAAGAGAAGAAATGAAGTGCAGTTAATCCTCACACAAAAGTCATTTGAAAAATTTTAGGACTGGGTTTGTACATTCGTAAAATTATACTTTGAAGAAAAGAACATTCTTTCTTCTCAACCTTCAATATGCAATCTTTGTAAATTTATGCAGCGCTTATCACTTTCATACAGCTATTTGATTCCTTTACAGAACTAATCCTTTGAAATATTGTTGAAGACTCTGATTTCGGTTTTCAGAATCTCTTCATAGATTTGACATTAGACTTCACTTTAGGGAAGACAAAGTGGTCTGCAGGTACTAAATATCGTTAATAAGGAAAAGTGGTTGAATATTGTGACACTTTAAGAAAAACTGCTTGACGAGAAGGGAATGTGTGACGGTGCGTGATTATGAAACTGAAAACAGTTATTTGATCTAGCTTTTTCAGGATAAAATACTAAATTCTCTTCAAAAGGCTGTCATTTTTGTCTTTATGAAATGCAATGCCCATCATCTCTTCCTCAGAAACAAATTACTTGTGAAATTATTCTTTTACAATCAAAAGAGGTCAACAACATGGTCGTTACTCGAAATTTCTGAAACCAAAGTTTCTGTCGCCGAGGTGAATCTTAGGCAAGCAAGTGTTACCATTTTATCTCAGGATCATAAGCAAAGTGCCAAGTTTCATCTCCGGTCACAATTTGTCTGAAAAACTAGAGCATTAATGTGCGTATAATTTATATTAGACCATGACTTGAAGAATTCAATCTTATTTCCATTTTGAGGCCAATACATCAAAGACAAAACAAGGAAAAAAATATCAAGGCCTTCTTGTGCCAATTTTGTGAGCAGTGTCATTATTATTATCAATAATAATCTCATTAGATCTCGTTAAAAGAGACAGGTAATGATTTTTCTGCAACCGTTGTCTTATGTTTTCAATGTTCTCGGCCTTTCGAGACTATGAAGGGTCTAAAACATCATGGCATAAAATTTAGCTGTCGAAAATAAAGTGGATGAAAAGCATCGCATTTTTAAAACATCGTCGTAGATAATATCGTAGTAAAAAAATAAAGCACCTACAAATTATTGCATGATGATAACATCGCAGACATGTTATTTTCAGGCTTTAAAACTTCTAAATGTATATTCGCATTGAAATCGAAAGAAAATAATTTTGCATCCTGATAAGTAACTAAGCAATTTCAATATAGGTAACCTCATGCAGTTACTCACCTTCCCTTTTGTAAGAATTTTTAGACTATATTTTTCATAAAAAAAAACTGCTAATACAACATTGCATAGGAACTGAATTAAATTATGACCTTTAAAATTAAAAATTCTGTTAGTTACTATGCGTAGCATTAACTTTCCTCTTATTTTCAATTTTTTAATGCTTAAGGTTTTTGCTTTTCTAGCGAACAGTTATTAAATAATCCAAAAATATGAAATATAGAGGTAAAAATATTCCTCATTCCTTCTTGCTTTCGCAAAGCATCATGCAAGTATACATTTACAGTTTTTAAAGCCTGAAATGCAAATGACTGCAATGTTATCGTCATGCGATGACTTTTAGATGCTTTATTTTTTTACCACGATTTTATCTAAGACGATGTTTTAAAATCCGCGATGTTTTAAACAGCATTATATCTGGTGACAAAGTTTCATGCTAGGGTGTTTCAGAACTGCAGTGTTTTCTCTTTGCTTTCTTTTCTCCCACCATGTTTCGCAATCATCTGTACCAAAGCAAAATATTGGAATGTCTTAATGCTTGATCCTCGTATGCTTTAGGCAAAGTTTCAAACATTTCAGGCATTGTTTTCTTCCGATTTACACCAAAACTTCATTGTTATATTTTGCTCAGCTTTCGAATCACTGACATTAGATGTTTAAGCAAACTATTAACTTCATAGAAAATTCTGCACGTAAGCAGACGATATTTTGGAAAAAGTAAGTTGAGATATTATTGTAAATATTACTGATAATTATTTTTGGACAGGTATGCTGTAAATTGCTGAAACTAGCTCTTAGTAGACATAATATATACATTTAATAGCTCCAAGTACCCAAAGGAAAACCTTAGATGACATATAGATGCATATGTTGACATCGATGGAAATCATTTCTATACCTATTGGAAGTAGTGCAACAAATAAATGAGAATTTATTACATATACACTTTTTACATAACCTGCATACACGTTTTTAATTACGAGTGAGGGTAGTGCTTAGTTTTTATGCTTAAATGACGGGCGTTGAGTACCAATAGGAAGCAAGAGCAACATTTGGATGAAGAGTGAATCGCACTGTGAAAACTCTATATTTTGTTCTTGTGAGTATAAAACAAGTATGGTGAGATTTTTGATATTAAAGAAAACCATGAAAGAGTAAACGTTATATTTATAATGACTGAAATCAATAAAGACTATTAAGTTTATCGTCGTCAGTTAATACAACTCAACATATTTTCTTCAGAACATTTCGGACAATTTTGCATAAAAGTTTTTAAACTAAAATGGAGAGAAAATTTCAGTGTTACCTTTGGCTTCATTGAGAAAAGGTTCCATTGACGATGCAGTTTCTTTTAGAAGCATTGCAGCGTTTCTGTATAACATCTGCTTACCTACCGTTTCATCCTGTTAACAATTGTAGAATTAGATGAATGTTCTACAGTTTTACATAAGTAATGTAATTTTACTGGAACTTTAGTATGTGAAGTGTCTGTGACTCGGAAAACAATATTTTAATTAGATTAAGAAAATATATTTTTCTTAATCTAATTAAAATATTGTTTTCCGAGTCCTCAAAAAGAGTGCAAAATGTTTGCATTATGAAATGCTATTTTATTTGCGATGTAAGGAACTTGTAACGAAAATTATTTAAAATTCTGAAAAACTAACTTTTCTCTGTAATAAAAAATTTGAATCTTTCCGTAGGATTAAAAAAGTCATATATATATATATATATCAATACTCATTACAAACACAGTAAAAGTTTCATTTTTAACAGGATGTTCATTAGAGAACAGAAGCGCGCTGCTAGCCATAAAAATTTCCACATTATGAAGGAAAGTAAACATAGTCGTATGTATTTTAAGGACAATGAAAGGATGAAATAACTGAAATTTCAAGTAATTTCAAGGCACATCATCCAGAAATAAGTATCTTCAGCAATTTTCTCTGGCAACAATGGAACCTGTACGGAGTCGAACAGACTTCAAATAGCCGTTACGGTATTACAGTCCGCGCAAATTCAGCTCTATGCCAGGGTCTATCTGTAAAACTGGTTCGCAAGCCCTGTCATGGCAATCACTCTGTAATCATTTACATGTTCTCAAACGGTGAGAGATCTGAAGAACACGTTTCCCAAAACAAGATTCGAACCCCTTAAATACTGAGGAATCTTAGGATAATGGAAGCAATATGAAGCCTCGCGTTGCCATGTTTAAAAGTGGAACAATGGAGACCCCTATGTTATAGAGCAGCTGTGGATGTTGAAATCTGAATAATGTAGCGGTGGCTGGTCAAAGTGTTACATATGCGAACTTTCACATATGCAAATTGGTGGTACCACATATTTATCGAGGCGCTAGGTCGGCATGATAATAAAGAATGAAAGCTTCTAACATTTATTTCCCTCAATGCTTTCACACACGAATACGACTACCATGAGACTTTAAACAAAAGCAAGATTCGTCAAAATACACAAGGTCATGGATCATTGGTTCATATGCGTCACTAAATGCAACACTGTAAGTTCTGATTCTTATGCTGCAAAGGTGAAGGGAAGTTGGAAGCAATGAACGCTTTGATGAAGGTCACTGGCTCTGTAGTAGTCATTGCACCTTATATGAGAATACTGGTGCTGTGCAAATTATCGAATTTTCTGATCCAGGGTCATGATGTGATTGTAAGTTCGTTAATAGCGATGCGGACAAGATATTTGTTGTCTCGAATAATGGCATGTGGGGTGGGGGGCGCGTTGAGATCCCGCACGTCAAGCGATATGGCTCTCCTAAACCCTTCGATGGCAAATATTCATAATAGTCATTGCGTCTCGATTAATGCAAACAGCAGATTTGTGGTATGATAATCCTTAATCCTGGTAAGCTATGATTCTTATGCGATCGAAATCTGAGATGTATTGGTATGAGTTTCTTTTCTTACGCGAGATATAACCTCCAATACAGAAGACAAGTAAATATAACACGACAACAAATAAATATAATTTCTGAGTGAAAAATAGGCAGTTCAGTCAGTCTGACTTGTTATACTACATCCAGGTTTTATTACTGTTGCCTGTAATGTGCATATGATGTGATGATGAAATGATTGAAATTTCAGGTAATTTCAAGGCACATCATCCAGAAATAAGTATCTTCAGCAATTTTCTCTGGCAACAATGGAACCTGTACGGAGTCGAACAGACTTCGAATAGCCGTTACGGTATTACAGTCCGCGCAAATTCAGCTCTATGCCAGGGTCTATCTGTAAAGGGTCTATCTAATCATATCCGAGTGTGTTCTACCTTTCGCGCAAATTTCAAATTTTTTGTGCGCTTGTTTCATGGTGTAGCAATTTTAATGGCTAATAGTGTCCATATAAAGGAATATAAGTGCATAAGTAATTTTGTGTTTTAAAGATCTTGTAGTACTTACCTTCAGGTTACCAATTTGAGCGTCATGATCATCAGCTTCTAATTTTCTCATAGTCTCATCTGATTTGTTATTGCAATACTGATAATACTCCGCTCTGTGTTCATAACCTTTGCAGAGTTCCACCATATTATGTGTCGGCCATCCATCTCGATCTGTTTCAACTGTAAGTCAAAGCACTTCATGATATTAACGTTGTAATGATCGTATTGCATATTTTGCAAATTTATTTTAAGTCAACAGCAGGAAAAGTTAGAATTTTGAGGTTTTTCATGTGTAAATGATGGAAGTGGAGTTTATATTTTGAGCACAAATTTATGCAGTGGACTCTAGTTCATTCGAACTCAAAGTTTCTCAGAAAAGAGTTTGAATTATCCAATGTGAAGAGAAAATGTAACTTTAAAAGTGTATTACTGAAGACTTAAAAATCTCCAAGAATGTATAACTCCAGAAAATATATATTATACTAATGCTATCTAATATTAAACATATTAAAAAACAATAAAGACTTACCTTAAACATAAAAATGAAGCAGAAAATATACAGTAGAGAGTAAATTTTAATTAAAAATATGAATTACATTTTTGTGAAAAACTGTAAAATGATTGGTTTTTTTTTTTTTTTTTTTTTTTTTTTTTTTATTTTATTATGCCTAAAGCTTTCAGCCAGCTTCTCAATTTGAAGTAAACGTTTCAATTCATTTTCAGAGGATGGTTCAATCGGAATTCATGCTTTCGGAAATTTTGTAGAGTCCACTATGGCTTAATCATTAGGACGCTTAATAGTCTCTGCATTCTCTTCTGAATCCGATAAGGTCTCTTCTTTTTCATTTTCTCGGATAGCTTTTATTATATCATCGTCATTCAGTTTTCCAGAGACTTCCAAATCTTCGTCTTTACATAATCACAAAAAGTAACGTTTTCACATTTAAATTTTTGAATTCAGGAAAAAAAGCTGTAGCAATAGCATCATATTCTTCGATATGATTGTTCTATTCGGCTTGCATGAACTGAGCATGACGAAAGCAATTACTAATTGTGCTTTATTTAAAAGTATCTCATGCGGCGTAATTTATAGCTGTCAGCAGAGTTTATAATTCTGGATGATTCCTTAATCCACTGGTTGTAGCTTCGCAGCTGTTTTCGGCGACAAATATTCAGCCCATATGGAACTCATTTCTGGAAGGCTATTCTGGCAGGTTGCGTTATCCACAAGAGAATTTCACTCTTTTTCCTCAAAAACTGCCCATCTATTGCTTTTATACAGTTACTGAAGATGTCTCGTGTCATCCGTGCTTTTGTTTGCATTGGATACATTATCAACTGTCAGTGTTCAAATTCCTTTAAAACACAGTGAATTCTTGGAGTTTGAAATCACTAATAATTTAAGCTTTTCGCTACCACCCATATTAGCGCAATCTAAAGCTATAATTTTCTATTTACTGCTTTTAACTCGTACGCAAGTATCCTCTTTAAAATGCAATGCCTTGCTTGGTAAATGCATGGTTTTTGCGAGCTTATAAAAAAACAGCTTCTTCCACATTAAAAATATCTTTCGGTAGGTAAGTAGAGAAAAGCACTGGCAGTTTCCTACCGAAATTAGAGCATATGTCTTCGTTTGCACCAGAACTTTGGCCACATATAGTGTGATAATAAATATTGTGCCTTGACATAAATCGAAGGAGCCATCCATCACTATATTTAAAATCTTCAATACCCATTTGGCTTTCGAATTTATCAGCTTTCGTCTGCAATAGGGGTCAATTTATCGGAAAACTTTGAGACCTAGCCTGGAACCATACCAGTACAGCTTTTTCTGGATCTTCTTGGGACGCATTTCTCATATATTTCCTTCCTCTAGCAAATTTAGATTTTTCTATTTTTACACTTTCACACCACACACTAAAAAAGGAAAACTAGAGCACATTAACGAAGCAGCTCCCTAAAATCTGTAGTAAAGACTGGTTTTTCTGAAAATTTAAGAAAGTTGATAACAAATAAACAAATGATTCTACCTCTACCCCGACTCATACAAAAAGGGTTCTAAATAAATCCAAGGAAACAGATTAGAGCAGGGAGCTTTGTCCGTTAAGCACTGATAAGTAGGAGAAGAGCCACTAACATTTACTGGAATTGCAATAGTCTAGGAATGTGCCTCTTTACACAGAAAGGAAATACAAATGATTTTGACACCCCAAAAAATAATAAATACAATGTGTATTTTCTCTGTCAAACAATGGAAAATATTTTTTGGATGTCAAACTTTTAGTTCGAATCAACCGAAGTGATAAAAATTTAGTTCGAATTGTTGAGTTATTTTAACATTAATTCCAATACAAGTTTTTTGGGGCCTTTGGATTAGTTCGAATTATCCGAATTCGAATTAACAAGCGTCCACTGTATATATTTAGAAGTATCGAAATTGGGCATACCGTTATTGCTGGGTTCTTATAACATTAGGGTCTTATTGTCAAAAAAAGGTAAATGCAGACATTTTAGAATATTTGTCTAAAATTGTACTTTACAACTCATAAAGTTAATAACATTGTAAAACTTACGTTATCTTGCAAAATCGCATAGCATCAATACACTTTAAATGTTTTTAAAATAATATTTATAAATATTACCTTATACAGTAATATAAACAATAAATAATAAATCATTTTATAAATTTTTACGATTGTTTATTCAAGAAATATTATTGAATACTGTAATTAAAGTACTTTGCTATCCAAAACAGCGTCTTTTGCACACGTGGTCTCAGTGGAAGCCAGAACCATTATTTATTTAAGTGCTCTTCAATAGATATTTGAAAAAAATAAGCAAATATCCATAAAAAGCATGTCAACATTAAAATTCTTGTGGTACAACAGAACTAATGTTACAACATAAATTTACCTTCAGGTTTCCATTGCGTAGGAGTAGCTGCCACATCTAAAACTCTATAATCTTCATTATCGCATTCACTCAGCATGCAAGATACTTCTGATAGATATTTCAGCTGCTCATCGAGGTAATCCTCAGGCGATACGGGATTTTTGTCAAACTGAGAGAAAGATAAAGCTGAATCTAGGGGCGATCCTGAAGTTTCAGGTAAAATGCGTAAAATTTGCTCGGTCATAACTCTGTCTCTTTGTTTAACTACTACTTTTATTGTGTCTTCACTTCGGAAGATGATAGCTAAAAACAATGAAATACAAAATACTTAAGTAAAATCCCTGCATGCATTATTACTGATAACAAATAAATCCAAAATACTTCAGTACTTAAGTAAAGCTTAAGTAAAATTTTCAATAAAAAACAAGGAATTCTCATTAACATAAAGGAATATTTTGAGTAATATTTTACTGTATAAAATGTCCATAAAAGAAACACACGGTTTTGTATTTATTTACAAAAAATCAGTTGCCACATAATAATTATTTTATTGTTTTTATTTTTTAAAGCAGATAATCAGAGTTTTTTCTGTATAACCAAAGTTTGCTTTCATCAACACCTCGCTAGTTACGAATATCTGAAAAGTCGGGCGTTTTGGAGAGGAGGTAGGTGCGTTCTTTAAACTCAACGAAAGATTTTTTTTAAAAGTGACTATTCTTCGACTAAATATTCCATGATTTTATCAGACAAATATCTTCGGGGTCACATCCAAAATGCTGTTTTTCTGAATCATCTTTAAATGTTGTTCTCCCTTTCTAAATATGGCAGCTATGTTTGGTCTTCAGTTTTTGGACTCATAAAATTCTTTTTGTTCCATTGATTTGATTGTATTTCACAAATTTATCTTTTGGTTTTCGTTTCAAAGGAGTAGCTGTCACATAATCAGAGCTCTGTAAAATTATTAAATTACTTCTTACCGGAGGTTTAGCCATTACTAAAGCATTTTTCATGACGAAGTATCAAATTTTGCTCGGAAAATGAAATGACCTGTTAATCTAGTCAATTTTATAGTGAAATCGCTGGCCAAAGAAAATGCAGAAATAGGCAAATATTTGCGCTACATTAGGAAGGGTAAGTTAAAAATTTTCCCTTGAACAAATTTATTAGGAAGAGATCCACCAATAAGTTTGCGTGTGGCAAAAAACTAATCAAGAAAAACGACGACTGAGCATATTGTAGTTTTTATTTCGGATCCCGTTAAGCAATTCCTTAACGTTTAAAAATAGATAGAAAAATTTATTTTTACGCCATGTTCCGAAAATTCTAAAAGCAAAATTTCTTCCCCCAAAAAATTTTAACACATAAATTTTATATATTTATCCAATACTTTATCTTGTGAACCCCGAAAATGTTTATATCGACTATAGATTGGGGGTCGCTTATATTTTCTAGCCATGAAATGTGTTTCCACTTTATAAACTGCTAGTTTGATTCTAGAGTTCATAGAAGACTGCCTTTATCGAGCATCAGTGTCAATTTGGCTGAAAACTTCTTCACCATCTTTGCCATTAACGTCAGAAATATCAAAACACTGTAAGGAAGTTACGTTTCCTGTGAAAACATGTGTTTCATTTTACTGTGTGTTTCATTTCATTACACTGATGTGTGACTGCGTGTTTCATTTCATACACTGTGTGTTTCATTGAAATCATCTTCGGAACTTAATGATATGTATATTCTCAGGTAGTTCAAATGTTCTGTAATAATTTCAAAGATTTCAAAGATAATCCTTGAAATTTACGGGAAATTTAAGCAAAACAAAGAGAATGTGAACTATTTATTCTCACGAAATTTTGAGTTATTAGTGCACCAAGTTATTACTGACCAAACATCGTTGATCACTCCTGGACTCGTTGATTACTTACCAAACATCGTTGATCATTCCTGGACTCGTTGATTACTGACCAAACATCATTGATCACTCATCTTGACTTGCATCTTTGATCACCGCAACCCACAAGGCACATTTCGAAGTCCATTTACTGAACAGTTACATCCCTCACGCTTTGAAGTTATGGAGATTAATTACAACCCGCTTCATGTTTGTCGTTTAAGAAATGAATAAGAAACACCTTTCAAATTTTGTGGACTTATTTGTTATTTTAATTAATTTAAGCAAATAGGATAATTTTTAAAAGCCTTTTGCTATTCATAAAAGTTTCAGTAGATTGTCAAACGATGAAGGAAAGCAACAAATGAGTCAAAGAATAGCTCCAGCTCTTTAGCACAAAAATCCTCAAGCGGTATTTACCTTTTGCACACGATTCGTATAGTAATATGTGTAGTTTCGACATCTACATGAACTAATAAAATGAAAAAAAAAAAAAAAAAAAAAAAAAAAAAAAAACACTTTTATGTAATAAACATACACTTACATTAACACAAATAATTTATTCTACACGATTGCATATAATTTACTTTATCCAAGATATGCAAACATAACTGATCGTTGCATTTTTAGATTTCTAAAATCTCGTCATTTCCAATTAGCAGACGATTAGAAGAATGTTTTATAATTCACACGTATGCAACAGATCCTTGTAAAACCTCAAAAATGACATTAAAGAAAAAAATCTGATGTGTACACCACATGACTTCCTTGTACGGAATATTAAATTATACGTATTTTTAATTGCATTTCATTTAAACTTATTGGATTGAATTAAATCTATTTCGCCGACAGCGCATAAACTACAATAGAATAAATGCATTCTTTAAAATTCACTCTAGTATTTGTTTACCATAGCGACACTATGGCGCTAGATTCACTTAACAGTATTATTACGAATTTGGTATTTAAACATGGACCTTATAAGAAATAGACTAACCCAGTGGGCGGGGCGCGCGTCACCGACATGTCGGCAAGAAAGAGTAGGGACGATCTGGTCTACTTTAACACTGAAACCTATGGCGTTTTTATCACATAACTCTTTTTAATTATTAAATGTGATACGTTTTATAGTGATGATATTATGAAAGCCACAGTTGTTTCCAAATAGGATTTAACATACATCATTAAAGCACTTTTTACCGCATTTCGCGCATTTTGTTTTCACTTGTAATTCTAATACAAACATCTTTACTTTGGTAAAACGGTAAAAACTCTAAGCACAAAATTTATGAACTTAATTTTGCGTAAAAGTAAAGTTAAATAAGATTGATAGTACGCGATGCTTTGAAATAAATAAGGTAAAATTAAACAAGATCTGATAATTCTTTTTTAATTTAATGAACATTTTCAGGCAGTGATTTTCCAAACTATAATAACATTACAAAACGATCATATTTATTTGATTATATAATCATTAAATAATTAACATTAAAGTGAATTAGTTATTTTAATAATTCATAAAATTCGGAGCATAAAATTTTCTGAGCGTAATGAAGGAAAAAAAAGATAAAATAAAATCTAGAAGCACTCTTTTTTAAAGTTTTGTGTATTACCTATATTTATTGAATATCATGTTCTTCGCCCATAAACCACATACATTTGAAAACAGCATATCTTTAGAATTTCCGCACTGGAGATAAAAATGTTAATTTCCGTACAGCGTCTGCTCTTTGTACAGCGTTGAGTTTGTTAATCAAAAATTCGTTAAAGTTTTACAAAATATGAAATAGATTAAAACAAATTCGAAATTCGGCCGTCCAGATGCCTATGTTCGGGTGGAGGATTACATTATTCAAAATTTGATGGCTCTAGATACTGTCGTTTTTGTCACAGTGCGAGAAACATACATGCATTCATGCAGATTCTTCATTATTTAATTTCTTTACATATAATACAGGGCGACAATATTTGGTAACAACAATTTGCAAGGAGACACGGACATTTATAGTAAAACAGCGCAAAATGCCGCTTTGAAACTAAGCGGCTACCGCCCCTTTATAGGCTATCGCCCCTTTGGGCTAATAAATTAAATTAACAGTAAATGAAAAAAAAATCTCATGCAGAACTAAAAATAAATTTAAAAAGAATAACCACTATAAAATACAAGCAAAATCAATTGTTACGGTTAAATATAACTTTAATATTAGAATTAAATGTATAAAAATTTTTAAGGAGTGAAAAGTGTTTATCACTATGATGTATTATGAAATATAATTGAAATAAAATTCCTTTATAGAAATTGTGCTATAATACTCATCTACAATTTTAAAAAAGCAGCGCAATTTAGAAATTTAAACAAAACTTTCTAAAATTCGTTTTTAAAAATTTAATATTTTTTACTTATTTACACTAATAAAAAGCACAAAAATTGCAAGAGAAAATTGCTTGTTTGAAATTTTCTATTAGTTCAGATTTAAAATATTATTTTCTAAAAGAAGTAGTTACAAATTTCCTTACGGCATAGGAAAAGCTAAAAAAATATATCCTGCTCTGAAAGCATGCAATAGCTTCATAATTATTTGGAACGTTAATTATGCTTGATAAATATGCTAAATTTTTAAAAATCAATCTCAATTTCAAAAATAAAAACATGTAAAATTATAATTTGTGAAATGAGGCGCTACAACCAGCATTTTCTTGACAATTATACACGCTGCAAAAGGCAACCAATGTTAAATTTCTGCACGTCGTCCCTAGTCCTCCGGATGTGATCAAGGTGACAGCCGGCAACGCCGCAGACGAGGGAGAAAAACCGTTTGGGTTAGTCTATTTCTTATAAGGTCCATGTATTTAAAAAGCTAATTTTAGTTCAATTATAAATTAAATGGTTTTATTTCTCGCGCAGTGCAGCGCGTGACGAATATTAAAAGAAAGCTAAGCCGGAAAATTGAAAATACAAGAGCGCGTGCATTAAATAAATAAATATCTCTTTTTGATTTCGAAAAAGTACTGGAAAATTCTAGCGCGTGATTTTAAAATCTTATAAAAGGAGGAAAACATCTCAGTTAGTAGTAGTTGCTTAGTTTGTTGTTGTTTAGAAAACTGCTCTTGTTGATTGTAGCGAATTCGCGGATTAGCGTTCTTTAGCTGTTTTGAATTACGTTCTATTGGACATTTGAGTAGTTAAAAGATAACTACTGTGAGATATTGTAATACTGCATGATAATTTGAGAAAATTTAAGCATTTTTGTTGTGATAATAATAAATTTTTGTTCATTTTTCATCGGACTTGTGCATTCATTTTATAACGAACCCGTACGCACGCAACAGTATTATATTTCGTTCATATTATAACTCATAATGCACAAAATTTATATCATTTAAAGAATAGAATTATCTAATCGTTGCCACA